ATACTATACTTGATCTTAGCCAAAAGGCCTAGAAGCAAATTATAGTTATATTATATAAATATTATAATACCTATATAGTATTATATTCATATTATTAAATACTAATAAATAGGAGACATTTCATGTCTTATTCCATTTTGTTTCTTGAGTACTTGGAGTATTGTCTGGTACTCAATTGAAAACCAAATATTTGCTGAGTGAATGAATAAATGAATGCGCTTGCATGGTGGAGCACTAAGAATAACCAAATATGAAATCAAGAAAGCGAGCTGCAAAGCTACACATATGTATGATCCCATTTTGGTATAAAATGAACTAAGTAAATAAATAGTAATCTGAGTATGGAAAAAACTGAAGGAATTTTTTATGTATATTTTATTTTATTTTATATATTTTATACATCATTTTTCATTTTTGCACAATGTATGCATGTTCACCTTGGTTATATTCCCCATACAATTCCCACCCTCCTTTATTTTGACCCTAATCTCCCTTCCCCTTACCCCCCCAATAGTGTGTCTCTGGTTTATAGTTGCTTGTTGATTTTGGTTTTTACTTTATTATAATTAGTTTTTTCCTGGTCCCTTATTTAAGTTTTCTAAATTCCTGCTATGAGTGAGACCATCCGGTATTTTTCTTTTTCTTTCTGGCTTATTTCACTGAGCATGATCCTTTTTAAAAACTGTTGATAATAGAATACACTTTCTGTGTTTTATCTTATGTAATTTTAAATAGTATGTAACTTAAATTTATAATATTAAGATCAATAGATATTTAAGTTGCATTATAATATTTGCTTTATTTTTATGTTTTGTAGGTTTGTTTCAGTCCTTGAAAAGCATCATTAGCAATCCTCTTTATGTTTTTATATTGTGTGCAACACTGCTTCACTTCAACAGCTTTATTGGTGCTCTTACTTATAACTTTAAATATTTAGAACAACAGTATGATCATTCACCATCTGACGCTAACATTCTGCTTGGTAAGAAATATTGCTTACCTATTTGCTGCTATGCAATATACTATCAAGTAATTGAGTTTCAAATGACATTATGTTGTGAAGGTGATTTTTTATTTTAGCAAATTTGATTTCCTTTTATCTTTTTACAAATCTTATAAAATTTGTCAAATGTGACATCATCATTGTTCTGTATCTGAAATTGTAACTCATATTATTTTAGGAGATGAGTTCCTAAGGAAAAGTTGTGTGTAAACAGAACATTTAGATGTGACTTCTGCCTAGTTGTATCTTATAATTTAGTGCTGAGATCCTGAGACAAATCCTTTTGTAGTGTAATCATAATTCTATAACTCATGGATTTTTGAAATCAGGACTCAACTACTTAAAAAGAAAAAGGACACTGATGTTTCCAAACAAAAAGTAAATTTAAACAAAGTATTGGTGTGTTTATAATTCAAAACATATTTTGGAGAGCATTTTTGCAACAAAATCTGTTTTCAAGGGCATATTGAAACTTGATTAGGAAGGAAAGATTTTCTTATATCATTCTTTCTCAATTCATAGCATAAAAGATTCTTAATAGCAATACACTACCCAGTACAATAGGTCATAAGTAAACAAGATAATAATTCCATATGATGCTGCTCTTGAATTTAAGGATTTAATTGTAAAAGTTGTTTGACTCCCAGTAAAATTCCAGCCTGGATTTTTTGTTACAAAATTACCTTTGAAATAGTATAATGCATAAGCTTAAATAACTCATATAGGACAATGAATGTAAAAGTTATAAAGGAATTAATTATTTTTAATACCATATGCAGGCCTGTTTATCATCTCAGGCTATATGTGTTTTTGGAAGAAGAAAGAAATATTCATGCAAGTAATTCTAAAGTACTGGGCAAATTTGAGTGAGGTTCTGAGGATTAGAATTCTTCATTTTGAGGCAATAAAGATTTTAGATGGTAGGATGAAAGTCTCACAAACAGGGAGATCATGTTTTGTTATTTTTCAGGAGAAAAATGTATACCTCAGAAACCATCTGTTCAGACATACAAATATTCTCAGTCACTGTCTTCTGCTCTTGGAGAAACCTAACTCTCAGCATTAGCAGAAAGAAGTGATATTTGTCTGTTTATTGGTACAGTGGTCTGTCTGTACATTCATCCTGTCCTGCTAGCCCTTTAATTAAGAAATAATAGGATTTTTGAATGAATTTTGCTTGTATCCCTTATGTTTCTTATATAAAAACAATTCAAAATATATAATTACAATTTTTCTCTTCTTTCATTTCTAGGAGTCATATTCTTACCAACTTTTGCAGCTGGATTATTAGCAGGAGGATATATCATTAAAAGATTCAAATTTACTTTGATTCAAGTTGCCAAATTCTCATTTTCTGTCTATGTAATCTCCTTCCTCCTGGCTTCAGTCAATCTTATGCTAATCTGTGAATCCAAATCAGTTGCTGGCCTAACCTTGACCTATGATGGGTTTGTATATATCAACATATCATTTGCCTAAACTGTATAATTTATAGTTGTATAAATTGTCCAATCTAGAAGATTCTAAGGAAAACAAGGCAGATAGCAATGTTAACTAAACTTTCTTTTAATCGAGAGAAATTTCAACTAAGAATTCTTAAAATGTCCATTTCTTAAGATATCAAAACTCCTTTAGCCTTTCCTTAATAAGGAATAATAATAGTTATCATTTATTAAGTGCTTACAATAAGTGATAGGTACTTTCATCCCTATTTTATAGATAAAGAAAACAAGTTTACGGAGATATTAGATTAAGATTCTGAATGAAATTTGTGGTTCTTGACACCAAAACTCTTTTTTTTTTTTTTTCTAATTCTGTATATTTATATGTCATTTTTTTTTTTTTTTTTTTTTTTATAAATTTTATTGTTATATTCCCCATACAATTGCTGCCCCCATTCTGACCCCAATCCCTCCCCTCCCGCCCCCGCCCCCCTAAAAGTGTCTCTGGTTCATAGTTTTTTGTTGATTTTGATTTTCACTTTCTTATAGTTTTTCATTTTCCTGGTCCATTATTTAAGTTTTCTAGATTCCTGCTATGAGTGAGACCATCCGGTATTTTTCTTTTCTTTTTGGCTTATTTCGCTGAGCATGATCCCTTCCAGCGCCATCCATGTTGCAGCAAATTGCATGTGTTTATCTTTTTTTGAATGCTGAGTAATTCCATGGTATATATGTACCACATCTTCTTGATCCAGTCATCTATTTTTGGGCATTTGGGTTGTTTCCAAAGCTTAGCTATTGTAAACAGTGCTGCTATAAACATAGGGGTGCAGGTGCTCTTTGGAATTGATGTTTCTGTGTCCTTTGGGTAAATACCTAGGAGTGGAATTGCTGGGTCATATGGAAGCTCTATGTTTAGTAGGTCCAGAAATCTCCACACAGCTCTCCACAGTGGTTGGACCAGTTTGCACTCCCACCAACAGTGCAGAAGAGTTCCTTTTTCTCCACACCCTCGCCAACATTTGTTGTTGCTAGTTTTTTTAATATGTGCCATTCTCACTGGTGTAAGATGGTATCTCATGGTAGTTTTGATTTGCATTTCCCTGATGACAAGTGATGTTGAACATTTTTTCATATGCCTGTTGGCCATTTGCATTTCCTCTTCAGAGAAGTTTCTTTTAAGCTTTCTGCCCATTTTTTGACTGGATTATTTCTTTGTTGTTGTTGAGTCTCATCAGCTCTTTGCAGATTTTTGTGATCAGTCCTTTATCATTAGTGTTGGGTGCAAAAATGTTCTCCCAGTTGACACCAAAACTCTTAGTCTTAATTACTGCAGTCTTCATGAGAGGAATATAAATGGTATTTTCCAAACGTCAATGAGCAACATTTATCTGCCATTAATTTTGATGTCCAACTATTACTTTTATAAGGAAACATTTCCTTATACCAGTCTGTTACCACTCAATCTGGTAAATCAAAATATAGGGCACTAAAACATTGAACTTTAGAGGTAAATAACTTAGAGAGCATCAACACTTTCATACCCTTTTCCTTCATTCATTGACAACTTTGAAACATTAGAAGCCGTACAATAACTCCAGACTGATGCTTTCCTAAATCATTTGTTCCAATGCTGCTCTGTTGTTAGGGCAGGCCCCAACCCAAAGCCAGCTCCCTGATAACAAGTATAGTAACTACCATTTATTCAAAAGGAACTAACTAGCATTATATGGGATTTTATTCATCTGGTAAAATTTTTCTGAGTGCCTCCTTAAAGATACATCAACTCCCCCATGAAACTCATAGTATAATAACAAATAACAGAATCAATATAGTGAGCTTTTATGAAATGTTAATTGCTGAGGTAAGTTTGAATCTATGAAAGCATTATGAAGAGATCCTCACATGTGGTCTGAGGGTCTTATAAAGGATTCTGAGATCTTATCACAGGATAAACAAGTTCTAAATTATTTTTATTGTAATACCAAGTTTGTATTTGCCTTTTTCATTTTCATCCTCTCCTGAATGTAATGTGATATTTTCTAAAATCACAAGATACGTTCTATCATCAGCCTAATGGCTGATGACATTTTGCTTCTGTGTTCTGGTGTATTATTATTTTTTATATTTAATAATTATCAATTATTAATAAAATAATAGTAATTTCTAATACTGTATATATGAGTAGATACAACTCACTTGAAGACACCTTTGGGGCCTTCAATACTTAAGAGTGTAAAGAACTCTTGAGGACAAAAAGTTTGAGAACTACCAAATTAACTTTTTTCCAAAAAATTTCCTGTGTATTTCATGTCATTATCTATGAATTACAAATGGAAAAATTGATTTCAGAAAGAGTAGTCACATTGCATGAAGTGGCAGAACTAGTGTGAGCACAGGAGTATATACAGGGTCTGAATGGGTCATTGTCACTATGCTTCATCACTGCTAGTCATATATTCCCAAACAGAATTAGATATAAGACAGCTTTATTTTTTTTTAACCAGTTTCTTTCTTTTTTTTAAACATAAATAACATAAATATTATTGGTATTTTATTTTATTTTTTTAATAATAAATTTTATTTTTATATTCCCCATACAATTGCAACCCCCATTCTGACCCCAATCCCTCCCCTCCCACCACCCACCCCCAAAAAGTGTCTCTGTTTCATAGTTTTTTGTTGATTTTGATTTTCACTTTCTTATAGTTATTCATTTTCCTGGTCCCTTATTTAAGTTTTCTAGATTCCTGCTGTGAGTGAGACCATCTGGTATTTTTCTTTTTCTTTTTGGCTTATTTCGCTGAGCATGATCCCTTCCAGCGCCATCCATGCTGCTGCAAATTGCATGTGTTTATCTTTTTTGAATGCTGAGTAATATTCCATGGTATATATGTACCACATCTTCTTGATCCAGTCATCTATATTTGGGCATTTGGGCTGTTTCCAAAGCTTAGCTATTGTAAATAGTGCTGCTATAAACATAGGGGTGCAGGTGTTCTTTGGAATTGATGTTTCTGTGTCCTTTGGGTAAATACCTAGGAGTGGAATTGCTGGATCATATGGAAGCTCTATGTTTAGTAGGTCCAGAAATCTCCACACAGCTCTCCACAGTGGTTGGACCAGTTTGCACTCCCACCAACAGTGCAGAAGAGTTCCTTTTTCTCCACACCCTCGCCAACATTTGTTGTTGCTAGTTTTTTTAATATGTGCCATTCTCACTGGTGTAAGATGGTATCTCATGGTAGTTTTGATCTGCATTTCCCTGATTACAAGTGATGTTGAACATTTTTTCATATGCCTGTTGGCCATTTTCATTTCCTCTTCAGAGAAGTTTCTTTTTAGCTCTTCTGCCCATTTTTTGACTGGATTATTTTCTTTGTTGTTGTTGAGTCTCATCAGCTCTTTGCAGATTTTTGTGATCAGTCCTTTATCATTAGTGTTGGGTGCAAAAATGCTCTCCCAGTTAGTGGGGTTTCTCTATGTTTTTGTTATTGTCTCTTTTGCTGTGCAGAAGCTCTTTAATTTGATGTAGTCCCAGCTGTTTATCTTTGCCTTCACTATCACTGCTTTGGGTGTTTCGCCTATATTTCCTTCTATATATTTTATGGTTTCAGATCTTATGTCTAGTTCTTTAATCCATTTTGAGTTGATTTTTGTGTATGGTGTGAGGTAGTGGTCAAGCTTCATTCTTTTGCATGTAGCGACCCAGTTTTCCCAGCACCATTTATTGAACAAACTTTCTTTGTTCCAATGCATAGTCTTTGCTCCTTTGTCAAAGATTAGTTGACCATAAATCTGTGGGTTTATTTCTGGATTTTCTATTCGATTCCATTGGTCTGTATGTCTGTTCTTATTCCAATACCATGCAGTTTTGATGATTATGGCTTTGTAGTATAGTTTGAAGTCTGGGAGTGTGATGCCTCCATTCCCTTCTTTTTTTTTCAGGAGAGCTTTGGCTATTCGGGGTTTTTTGTGATTCCATATGAATTTCATCAATAATTGTTCTATTTCTTTGGAGAATGACATTGAAATTTTGATTGGAATAGCATTGAATCTGTAGATTGCTTTTGGTAGGATGGCCATTTTAATAATGTTTATTCTTCCAATCCATGAGCAGGGGATGTCTTTCCATTTCTTTGTGTCTTCTTCTATTTCTTTTAACAGTGTTTTATAGTTTTCTTTGTATAGGTCCTTTACCTCTTTTATTTATTTATTTATAGATTTATTCCCAAATATTTGATTTTTTTGTTTCAATAATAAAAGGGATGGTTTTTTTGATTTCTTCTTCTTCTGATTTATTGTTTGCATATAGGAAGGCTACTGACTATTGCATCTTGATTTTGTATCCTGCCACTTTACTGAACTGATTGATTAGTTGAATTAGTTTTTCTGTGGAGTTTTTTGGGGTTCTCTACGTATATTATCATATCATCTGCAAATAGTGATAGTTTGACTTCTTCTTTTCCTATTTGGATTCCTTGGATGTCTTTCTCTTGTCTTATTGCTCTGGCTAGGACTTCCAGTATTATACTGAAAAGCAGTGGTGAGAGTGGACATCCTTGTCTTGTTCCAGATCTTAATGGAATTGCTTTCAGCTTTTCACCTTGAGAATGATACTGGCTGTTGGCTTGTCATAGATGGCCTTTATGATGTTGAGGTATGTTCCTTGTATCCCAAGAATTTCAAGGGCTTTTATCATGAATGGGTGTTGCACTTTGTCGAAAGCTTTCTCAGCATCTATTGATATTATCATATGGTTTTTATATTTCTTTTTGTTGATGTGTTGGATAACGTTGATTGATTTTCGGATGTTAAACCATCCTTGTGTCCCTGGAATGAATCCTACTTGGTCGTGGTGAATTATCTTATGGATACATTGTTGGATTCTGATGGCTAAAATTTTATTGAGGATTTTTGCATCAGTGTTCGTTAGGAAGATTGGCCTGTAGTTTTCCTTTTTTGTGTTGTCCTTGTTCGGTTTTGGTATTACTGTAATGTTGGCTTCATAGAACGTGTTTGGTATTGTCCCTTCCTTCTCAATTTTTTGGAAGAGTTTGTGAAGGATAGGCACTAATTCGTCTCTGAATGTTTGGTAGAATTCATTTGTAAATCCATCAGGTCCTGGGCTTTTGTTTTTGGGGAGGTTTTTGATTACCATTTCAATTTCGCTAATTGTAATTGGTCTGTTTAGGTGTTCTATTTCTTCTTTATCTAGCTTTGGGTGATTGTAGAGTTGTAGGAATTTTTCCATCTCCTCTAGATTGTTGAACTTGTTTCCATATAACTGTTCATAGTAGTTACTGATTATTCTTTTGATTTCTGCTGTGTCCGTTGTGATTTCTCCTCTTTCATTTGTGATCCTGTTTATTTGTGCTTTCTCCCTTTTTTCCATTGTGAGCCTGGCTAGGGGTTTGTCTATTTTATTGATTTTTTCAAAGAACCAGCTCTTGGTTTCATTGTTCTTTTGGATTGTTTTTTTAGTTTCAATTTCATTTATTTATGCTTTGGTTTTTATTATTTTCTTCTACTGGTTTTGGGGTTTTTTTGTTGTTCTTTTTTCTAGATCTTTGAGCTTCGAGATTAGGTTGTTTCTTTGAGTTCTTTCTTGTTTCTTGATGTGAGCTTCTATTGCTATATATTTTCCTCTTATTACTGCTTTTGCTGCATCCCATACATTTAGGATATTGGTGTCCTCCTTGTCATTCAATTCAAAGAATTTTTTAATTTCTTCTTTGATCTCCTCATTAGTCCAGTGGTCTTCCAGTAGTGTGGTTTTTAATCTCCATGAGGTAGGAAAGTTCCTTGCCTTCTTTTTATGGTTTATTTCTAGTCTGATGCCTTCATGGTCAGAAAAGATGGTTGATATGATTTCAATCTTTGTGTATCTGTTGATGTTTGTCTTGTGCCCCAGTATGTGATCGATCCTGGAGAATGATCCATATGCGCTTGAGAAAAATGGGTACTCCTTGTTTTTTGGGTTTAGTGTTCTATAGATATCTGTTAAGCCCAAATGCTCTAGGTCCTTATTTAGAGCTTTAGTTTCTTTACTTATTTTTTGTCTTGTTGATCTATCCATTGTTGATAGTGGTGTGTTGAAGTCTCCCACTACATATGTGTTTTCTCTGATGTCTGTTTTCAGACAGGACAACAGTTGTCTGATATATTTTGGTGCTCCTTCGTTTGGTGAGTATATGTTAATGAGTATTATTTCTTCTTGAAGTATTGTCCCCTTGATCATGATGTAGTGACCATTGGGGTCTCTTTTTATTTTTTTGAGTTTGAAGTCCGTTTTATCTGATATAAGTATAGCTGTTCCTGCTTTCTTTTTTGGTCCATTTGCTTGTAGGATTGTTTTCCATCCTTTAACTTTGAGCCTATTTTTATCTTTTGTAGCTAAATGTGTTTCCTGGAGACAGCAAAAGGTTGGGTTTTGTTTCTTAATCCAGGCTGCAACTCTGTGTCTTTTTATTGAAGAGTTTAGTCCATTTACATTTAGAGTTAATATTGATATGTTAACATCTGTATTTGCCATTGTGTTTGTCTTTCCTTTGATTTTATTTATTTATTCTTTTAATAACTTTTTTTTTGGCCTTCTTTCATTGTTATTCGTCCCTCTGAGGTTCTGGCTTTAGGGTTCCTTGTAGTATTTTTTTGGAGTGGGGGTTTAGTCGTAATGAAATTCCAGAGTTTCTGTTTGTCTGGGAAGGTCCTTATTCTTTCTTCATAGAGGAAGGAGAGCTCTGCGGGATAGAGTATTCTTGGTTGGCATCTGTTTTCTTGGAGTCTGTTGACTATGTCCCTCCACTCTCTCCTTGCCCGTAGTGTTTCTTCAGAGAAGTCTGATGTCAGCCTGATTGGTTTTCCTTTGAATGTTATCTGTTTCTTCCCTCTTGTCAGCTTCATTATTTTTTCCTTGTCCTGGATTCTTGGGAGCTTTACTATTATGTGTCTTGCTGTATTTTTCCTTTCGTCATGGAAGTTTGGTGTTCTTCTGTCTTCTTGTATGTCAATTTTCAGCTCCTTCTTCGCATTTGGGAAGTTCTCTTCAATTATCTCCTGGAATATTTTCTCTGTTCCTACATCTCTCTCCTCTCCTTCTGGAATTCCTATAACTCTTATATTTCCTTTCCTCATGGAGTCAGATAGTTCCCGAAGTCTTTCTTCGTTCTTTTTCCTTCGTACTTCTCTTTCCATTTCTGTTTTGGTTCTTTTTATTTCTGTGTCTTCAAGAGTACTTATTCGTTCTTCCATTTCATCTATTCTGCTTTCATTGCTTTTCCCAGAGTTCTTTAGTTCCTCCATTAATTCTTTGCTCTCCTGCGTTTCTTTTGCTTCCCTCTTTAGGGACTCAATTTCATTCTTCTGATCGTTGATTATTTTTCTCATATCATTGTTTTTCTTTATGATTTCTGTCACTTTTTTAATCATGGCAATTTTAAATTCTCTTTCTGGAAGTCTCAGAAGTTCTTCCAAGTTACTGTTGTTGCAATCTGGGGGGTGGTTTTCTTTTTGTGGTGTGCTTTTTTCCTGAGGAGTTGTTAGGTTGCGTGTGGTTCTTCTACTCCCTACTGTCTGTTTTCTAATTTGTCGTTTGCATTGGGACACTGTGTTGCTTGGTCGGCATCTTGGGTGAATTTCTCCGCTCCCCTCTGGCTCCTCCAGGAGCCATCTCTGGCTTCTGAGGGAGCTTTCTGCTGGTTTCAGGCAGTCTTTACTGAAGAAATGTCCCTGTTCTAAAATGGCGACATGGGACTCAGTCCCTGCGCATCAGTCTCAGGCACACTCTTCTGCGCGCCCAGTCTGCCCCGCCCGTGGGTGCCTGTTCCCTCTGTGGGCTCAGACTGCTGGTCGGAAGGGGCCTGGCATGGGCTAACTTCCCAGCTGGCCACTGTCTCCTCCGGGAGCCTTCTGCCCTTTTCAAGCAGTCTTAAGAAATTTCCCTGTTCTATGGGGTGTTAGTGACTTTTTTTTCTGGTCACTAGGTGGCGCCAGAGATCTCTCCTATTGTCCTTGGGGGGCTGTTTTTCGTCCCCCCACCCCACCCCGTGGGACAGGGAACAGAGCGGGAATGGTAGGGTAAACCTCAACGGCTTTGGGGTGCTGTGTCTGCCTTGTGCCCCACCGTCGTGGAGAACCCACGCCCCGAATTTCGTGCCCCGGGTCTCAGTTCCAAAGCCCTCAGTTCCAGGATGCGGGCTGTAGCCCAGTTCAGTGGAGCGGAAATGGCGCCTTTTGCACCCCACTCCCGTGCCTGGGCGCCTGGTTCCTGCTTACTCAGTGAGGGACTTTCACTTCAGTGAGGGCCTCCGCGCGTCTCCCCGCAAGCCTAGGTCGCAGGCGTGGGGACCTGGGCAGCCGCGATCCCGATCCGCGTTTGCTTTTCAAGTGGCGCGCCGCTTTTCCGCACAAGCTTACCGGCCGGCCCGGGGTGTGTGCAGGTCTCCTCCAGAGTCTCTTTGTTCTCTAATGGCGCCCGGAGCCGTTCTCTCACCGCCGCTGCGAATCCTGCAGGGTTCTCCACAGCTCCTGTTCACGGGGTGTGGTGGCTGCAATCGTTCCTTTCCACTCCCAGTCCCGCTGCATGGTTTGTTCTTGTTGGTCGTTTTAGTTTGTTGTTTTCCTCCTCTCTGCTGGTCGGAGAGTGCCGACTCTGTGGGTGGGGGAGGAGAGCAAGGTTCTGCGCTTTCCTCCCTTCTAGTCCTCTTTTATGGCCACTTTCTTCTTCAGGTAGTTTGCTGGAGTCGTCTGTTTATCTTCCGTGTCCCAGTTCTCACTGGGACCTGCCGCTTTTCCTCCCTATTAACTTTTTTTAATGGGAGATCTTACTCGCAGCGTCTCCTCGCTGCCATGTTGCTCCGCCCCCTCATAAGACAGCTTTAAATAAAATTATTGATATTAGAATTTCTGAATTTCTGAGTCCACCTTTTTCTTCATGTAAATTACTTTCCCATTTAAAACTAATTTGTCAATCCTCAGTTATTATCAAGAGTTTCACCAAAAACAAAAGAACTATTTTAGAAATGTATACGAAGAAACTTAACTCTACAAATAACCATTTTGTAATTTTAGCTATATATGATTATACTTTGTAAAAATAACCAATTTTACCATAAATTATTGTTAAATATGTTATACGTTCATATAAAAAAGAATATAGAATTTTTCTAGACCCTCATAACTGATTCTACTATTTTGAATTTTTAAAAAAAGATTGCAGGGATTCTACTTTGACCATGTCAGTTCTTTTCCTATATGGTTAAACTGTAGATTTTAAAATTCAACTTCATTATTCACAAATTCTTGAGACTTCACAGTGAACTGAGAGAGAAACCCAGTCTAAGGCTGCTTCCTAACTAAAGAGAAGCTAAATCTCAGGAAATAGGAAGCATTACATTTCTTGATAGAATCAGAGACTTCTTGTCCAAGTATTTTTTGGTTTATTTTTAATAATTTACATTGTCTCAGTCATAAACCATGTCTTGGTAAAAATGGAGGGTGAAAAAGTTAATATACACTAAATAAAAATATGGCCACACTGGCTTCATCACTTGTTATATTTCTCTAATTAAAGAATAGCCCTTTCCCCTTGTTACCATTTCTCTCCCTCCCTCTCTCCTCTCCTTTTTCACACTTCCTCCTTTCTCTCCCTCTGTCTAACTCTCTTTTTCTCTCTCATTGACTCTTTTTTGATATATGTATTATCTATTTCCAGAAATAGTCCAGTGGCCACACATAAAAACATACCACTTTCTCATTGCAACTCAGACTGCAATTGTGATGAAAGTCAATGGGAACCAGTATGTGGGAATAATGGAATAACTTACTTGTCACCTTGTCTAGCAGGATGCAAATCTTCAAGTGGCAATAAAAAACCTATAGTGAGTATGAGTTTTTACTTTCCTCTTCTTAACCAAAAGTGCAGAGTTGATTTAACAGTGGCTTATCAAATATTTCTATAATGAAGGTCTTCAGCAAAAAGATAAAAGAGAAAGACTGTCAGTGCTGTCTGTCATTGCCATAACTTGATGTTATATAAACAAAACCCTCATACAAAACCCTGCTTGACTCACAAACAGGTTTTCAAGTTGCTTGAATTCTCATTTGAGATTGCTCCTACTTTTCCCCCAAGAGTTTAGGAGAATATGAGCTTTTGGAAGACAATATAAATATAAATGCATTTAAGATCTCTAAGAAACACCGGATTGACTTTTTCCATTTAGTCGCAGATCCTTTGCCTTTCAGAAGATAGGAGAAAGTCCTGAAAAATCCTTACCATTACTACCTCCCTTTCTGAAACAACAATGTATGCAAGTAAACTTTATCTCTGGGCTCACAGCCCATGTGACTTTCCAAGAAATTAATAGGATTTCATGCTCACAGCTGTCCCATTTTGACTTCCAATTTTGATGTCCCAAAGTTGGCACTATTGCCAGGCAGAGGGTCTAAAAACTGTCTCCTACTTGGCAACATCTTCCACAGAAATAATATTTCCTTCCTCATTCAGAACATTCACTTCTGTACAAATTGAGTTCTCCTCAGTCCCCTGGGTAACTTCTCATAATTGAGGTTCAGATATGGTGTTCTATAATCCACTTCCAGTCCACTCAATATTTCATAATGTTGGCCAGCCATCCCCTAGGCCCTTTCTTGTCACCAAAATTAACAACTATAATAAGCTGTGAGCTTTACTCTCTACCACACCCATCTGTCTTTGATTGTCAAACTTTTCCCATCTTTCTTATCCCTTGTTTATTAATTATTTTATTGAATGACTCTGACAACTTTGAAAAATAAAACACCTTTGAAGCTGGGCCACAGTTTTAATGAACTTGTGGAAAAATGGCCCTTGTGTGCCACAGTGTGGACTGTACTGTACAGCTCACATCTCATTTTCATGACTCTAGGGCCTTTCACTGAACTTGCCCCCATTTAATTCATGGTGTCACTTTGCCCATCAGTGAAGGCCTGGAAAAGACATGTTGTTGGAATCCTAAGGAGAGTTCTGTCTACTATGGGGACATTTTCTTAATGCTGTCAATGATTATACCATTTAGGGGGTACTGGGAAGATCTTTTACCCAATCCTTGCTAATAAACTGTCCCTTCCAATCACTCAAACTAATGTTCTTTGTACCTAAATTTGGCTTTATTGGTCAATAGACTTTTTACATAAAGGATCTCTCCATATTATTCCTAGTGAAAAAAGTAAAGCTTGATGGTCAGGTAAGTTTGGATTCAAATTCTTTCATAATTCCTCCTTCAGTCATTAGTGTTTAACACAAATAGGTTCAAAGTAAACTTCCCTTAAACCTTAATTTTGCCTAGACTCAGAACAGAATTTATTCAAGACACTAATCTGTAAAAACTCTGCCAAATTAAATCTCTAAAATTATTTCTTTCTAAAATTCCCCCTTCTATCCTGTAACACTTAGGGCATTCTCTTATGTCCACCCTCTCTAGTAATGATAGCAACTCTCCTATAAGCTGTCATTATGCTCTTAGATGTTGTGTTTGCAGGTCATAGTAGAGTTCTAGCCCCTCTGCCCTGCCCTGTTTCCCTGTCTCTGTCCCATTTCTCTGGACTCTCTTCCATTCTGAATATCAATATCATCTCAGGTTTTGGCCTCTTCCACATTGCTGTATTTTCTTGGTTCTCTGGGTGATCCTAGCCTAGAGACGCTCTCTGCCTTTAATATAGATTGTTAAAGACAGTAAGTAGGTGTGTTAGAAGAAGTAAAAATAAGTAGGAAAGAGATATTTAAAATAATATATATTAACAACAATGTTATATACTGTTTGAGAAGATAATTTCTTCTATTCTTTCCCAGCTTTTAAATTAAAAGATGAATTAAATGTTAATAGGAATTATATTTTCTTGTCTAGAAAGAAATCTAGGAAACTATTTTGCCTTTTAACAATAAAGCAACCATCTTTTTAGAATATATTAGCTTGAATGAATGAGATTTCTTTAAATATAATGGAATATATTTAGAGTCTAGTTGTATTTTAAAACATATTCTTTAATTTTTCAAAAACTATTTTTTAGGTGTTTTATAACTGTAGTTGTATAGAAGAAACTGACTTCCAGAATAGAAGTAACTTGGCTCATTTGGGTACATGTCCAAGAGATGGTCGGTGTATGAAGAAATTCTATATTTATGTAGGAGTACAAATGTTGTCTAATTTTTTCACTTCATTGGGAAGCACCCCAACTATCATGCTGGTTTTTAAGTGAGTATGACTTTTTAAAAGTGTTTGTATGTATATTACAATAAACACATCTAATAATCTACATTTTTTTTGTAATGTGTTCAGAGCCTAAATCATATTAGTTACATTTTTATTTCTACATTTTATTTCTATTCAGGGAAGTTCTGGGTGCTGAGGTTGGAAGAAACAGTTGAGCCTTATTAGCTCAGATAGTATGCATTTTTATTTTATTTTATTTAGGCTCTATTCAGAGCCTAAATCATATTAGTTACATTTTTATTTCTATTAGTTACATTTTTATTTCATTAGGATTATCGCATACTTTTAATAATAATTTCTCTGATTCTTTTTTTTAAAAAAGATTTATTTACTTATGCATACAAGAGCTGTGGTGTAGGCCAGAGGTGAGAGAGGGCGGTGAGAGGGTTCACCAGAGACAGAGTGGGGAGCAGAACAGGCAGATTGACTGAAATACACTGCCAAGGAGAGCAGCAGGCAAGCCAGGAGAGGTCTTGCGGGTAGCTCCCTGGCTGGGGATCAAACTCGTGCTGCGGTGGCTGCGGATAGCTTCATAGGTTGCTTCTTAACCCCTTGTGCCACCAGAGAGGCCCAATTTCTCTTGATTCCTCTATTACAAAAGTAAGATTCCATGTTTTCTCCTTTTACTGAGAATTTTAAGGCATAGACTGAAAGACTGCCTAACTGAAAGAATACCTGATTGTGGGGTGCCTGACACCCTAATTGGCCTACCACAGAAAATCACTTATTGATTCAATTGAAAGAAAACATTTGGAAGCCAGACTATGTAATGTAAACTTCTTTTTATGATATTGTAAATCTTTTAATCTGCCTACAGAATGGCTTTTAACCTAGTGGCTCATAATACTCTCATAGAAAGTAGAAAAATATGTGAGCAAAATTAATTCCTTGCTCTACTTGTTGGACAAATATTTATACATGCTTGGTGTAGGATATTCTGTAATAATAATTAAAAGAGATGAAGTTTCTGTTCTCATACAACTTGGAAAATAGACACTCTTGAGACAGAAAACTAAGAGACAGCAAAGACTGACACAAGAGTAACACACTTAAAGGTAGTCACATTTTCCAAATTGTCATTAATAAGGAAAATGGGTGCTATTAAAGGTAGTAAAAGGAGAACCCTAATTTAGGATTGAGATAAAGAGCTGTGAGGAAGAGGACTCAGTACTTCTAAAAAAAAAAAAAAAACTGATATTTAATCTGAAGGGGTAGAGAATAAAAGTTGGCCAAATGAAAGAACTTTATAAGGAATGGGTGTAGATTCCAGTGCATCTAGGCAGGACAGAGCTAGCATGTTTGAGGAATGAAAGAGGCTGGTCAGTTGGAACATTGGAACATAAGTGTAAGAGAAATGTGATGCATGGTAAGATTGAAGAATTAGGAAAGAAGCTGATAATAAAAATCCATTAGATGTAGTCGTTCAATCACCTAAAACTGAAAACATATAAAGACTTGATTGTAGGTCTAAAAATATACTCATATAAGTATGGCAACCTGGTAAGTGCACTGTCAGCCAATAACATGATGTGGAAGAGAAAGAAAATAGATTTATTAACGTTGTTAAAGTGGATATAGGCCTACAAACTGAGTCCGCAGTTGTTGGAATTTAGCTGACCCCAAATCCTGTCAAATTATTTAATTTAGACCGCAGGTATAGCTCCTTCTTAATATAAAATGTTGTTTACTCCAAAGAGGAAGACTTCCATATTTGCCAAATTCAGATTCAATAACTTACAGGAAGTCATCTCCAAACTCCATATTAGCTTGCATCTCAACAATTCTTTAGCTACTTCATTTAAAGTCTTCCATGAAGATAGAGTTTCGATCACTGTTCCATCATTGATGATAATATAGTTCATCTTAGAAAGTAGTTTAAGATCAACATTATTATTTTATCAAATCATTTATTGATCCCGCTCCAGTCTTTGATTTTATTGAAAGAAAACTGCAAAGCAGAAACTAGGATAAAAATTTAAACATTTTAATGATGTTTTAACACTTATATCATAAAGCCATTGTTAAAACTAGACTAAGGAGTGATGCCATCACTCATTCATATACAATGAATATATTCAATATGTATATCAGGGAAGTTCTGGGTGCTGAGGATGGAAGAAACAGTTGAGCCTTATTAGCTCAGATAATATGCATCTGGAAGTTATTTGATAAAAGAGTCCTGAATAAAGATTAACATTATAGCCCATCTGATGTGAGGATAAGTGAGCAATTCAGACAAGATGGCAGCAAAGGAAAAAGCTGAGATGGAGTTTGCTTGACATCTACAGGGTCAGAATGAAGATGTAAGGAAGAGAGCGGTGAGAAGTATAATGAGAGAGTCCAGAAAAATATGATCCAACCTTGTGAGTAGTGGTAAAGACTTTAGAGTTTATTCTAATCGTACTAAGAAGCCAGCAAGAAGATTTGAGTATTGTAATTACACAGCTGACTTACCCAACTAGAAGATCACTCTGACTATGGTCTTTGGGAGGCACAAATGGAATCAGGAAAAACAACAAGTCCTGCTTGTTCTTTACAGGAGGAGAGACTGAGGATGAGGATGGTAAAGGAAGTGGGGAGCAATCAAAGTCTTTGTTTTGAATTTATGGCAAAGTCAGTTAGAATTTACGGAAGAATTAGATGTGGCATATAAGAGAGAAAATTTACGGATCCAGGGATCTGGCCTTGGCTCTGGAAGGGTAGTGATACATTTTATTGAACAAGCTGGGGGAGACTGGGGAAGAGTAAGGTAGAGTAAGTGAGAGGCAAGAGTTCATTCTGTCCTTGTAAGTCCTAGTGACAATGCCATATATACAATCTGACTTTCAGGACAAATATTGGAGTCAGAGATACAAATTTCAAAATCAGTCACATACAACTGGCATTTAAATCCACAGCACTGTTGAGACTTTCTGGGGACTTCATACAGATAGAAACCTGATCCTCACATGAAAAGCTGGGCACTCTAACTTCAGAAACCAAGAAAAGGAGGACACTGCAGTGAAGGAAACAGACAGTGGTCCCATGAGTTCAAAGAAAAACCAAGAGAGAGTGAGAAAATGTGTTAAGGGCTGCTGAGAGGTAAAGGAAGTTAAGGACTAGGAAATAACCACTGGATTTCATTCCATACTGGTCACTATTAGCCTTCTCGAAAGTAGTACATGAAGATGGGGGAAAATAAGGCTGCTTTGCAAAGGATCAAGAGAAAAAGCAAGAAGGGGAAGTACAGCAGAAAAAGTTCCTTTTAGGATTGGTGTTATTAAAGGAAACAGAGAAAAGTAGTAACTAGCATGGTATGGCATCAAGTGTTCTGTCTGTGCTTTTAATGTCATTTTTGGAGTTGTTGGGTTCCAAGAGTGGGGACCTTGGGTTCACTCTGGGAAGGGTTTCACCAGAGTTCCCCTTTCAGTGGAACCAGCAAGTTTCCCAAGCAAGTTTTTCCATGACACAGAGACATTAGTTATAGCCAAAAAGGCAGGTTTATTATAAAAGGGAGAAAAGAATAAAGAACACTTGCATAGACATAGCCCGCAGAAAGGGTTGCCCCCAAAGGGACAGGTTTGCTAAGAGAGAAGTCTGCTTGGTGACAGGCAGGTGGCCTCGAGGAAAGCTGCCTCTGCTGAGGGTGATCAGTGAAGAGAAGCACTGGCATAGTACCAGTCACTGGCAGGCAGGTAGGCTGCCGCCCTGTGGAGAGAGAATGTTGGCGAAGCACTTGCATAGGCACAGGTGGGCAGTAGGACTGCTGCCCCATGCCAGTGCAGAGATTGCACTGATACGATCTTCTCTTTGGGAGCAGTTGCTGTTGATTTTCGATAACCTGTAGAATTTGAAAGGAACCAAGTCTATAATGGCCTTCAATCTCCATATCTTCACCTGTAGGTCTGTGTTCCCAACACTCCCTACAGTAGTCTACCTGCTTAGGTCTTATGCTTTATGATCTGGGCATTGGCACCTAAGGATCTTAGTGCCTATAGCTGGGTTAATGGCTATGTTAATCTCTTCTACCCCACCTCCTTGTGTGAGTCAGGTCCTAGTCTGGTGATCCCTCCTTTTCAAGTTTTCTATTCTTTTCCTCCATCACTTTTGTTAGAAATTATAGCATGCTTGTGTGGGGATGAGAATTATCCAGTAGAGAAGAAGGAAGTTCTATAGGAAGTAGGGGCCACAATGATTGGGAAAGAGGACAAGGAATAAGAAACATGGACCCAGACTTTTGTTCTGTAACATAAAGGAAGGTGGTTTCTGGGAAAATGCGGGAAACTAAATGAAGTGATGTATTTCTTTTCTGTTAGCTTTTCCTTTGTCTGTTAAATAGAAAGCAAGGTAATTAGCTGAGAGAGAGAGGAGAGTAAAGGAAGAGGTTTGAAATAAGATCAGGAAATGAGAACTATTAATTTTGAGGATTGGTAGAAAAACTGAACATGAGAAGGGGATAATAAAATGCAGTAGGATTGTTCTGGAGCTCCTAGGGGCTTGCATTTGCAAATTTAAAAAAAGCCTGGTCATGTCTTGCTGTTGATTTTTTCTCCTGTCAGCTCCCTTGTGGAGAAACTATCTCCTTGACCCTCCCCTGCCCCACTGCCCCAGTGGACTGGTGCATTTCCCAGCGTGGCTGGTGGGAGTGGCAGTGGCCTGTCCATTGTAAAAACAGCCAAAACCCTTTTCATTCATTTTCTCTCTTTATCTACGATGGAGGTAAAGAGTAGAAAAGTTGGAAAGGTGGCACCACAAGACTAGAAACCTGGCTCACTCAATGCTGGGAGCTGGAGGTGGGAGGTCTAAGTGATTACCATAGTCATTAACCCAGCTATAGAAGGTAAAAATCCTTAGGCCACCAAATTGTAGAGCAATTATCAGACTACTACAGAGAGTATAGGCAGAAGGCACAGACCAGAGGGGAAATGGCAATTGAGGGCCATTATAGAGAATCACTAGTCCTTACAAATCAACCTACTAACACTCTAGAACTGATGAAAACCCCTCCCAAAGGACAGAGGAAATGGAAATTGAGGACTATTAGAGAATTTCTGGTCCTTTTCAAATTCTGCAGTTATTCAAAAGTTAACAACTCCACAAAGCAATGAGCCTCTCCCAAAGAGACTATATCAGTGGAATTTCTGCAGTGTCAAGGAGCAGCAGTTCTTCTGCCCACCTGTGACTGTGCAAGTGTTTTTCTTCACCAACCTTCTTTGGTAAAGTAGGAGCAGCAGCCCTCCTGCCTACCTGTGCCTTGTGACCATGGCAGTGCTTCTCTTCACTGACCTCCCTTGGCAAAGCAGCAGAGGCAGCTGTCCTGCCAAGGCTACCTCCTGTGACTATGCAGACCTCTCTATTAGCAAACCTGTCCCTTTGGGGGCCAGCTCTTTCTGCCTGCTTCTGTCTGGGCAAGCATTGTTTACCCTTCCCTCCCTTTTTATATAAACCTGCCCTTTTCTGTATAACTAAAGCCTCTGTCTTGTGGAACAACTTGCCTGGAAAACTCACCAGTGCTGCTGAAAGGGGAGCCCTGGTGAAACTTTTCCCAGAGTTAACCCAAGGGCCCCCACTCTCAAAAACCCAGCATCTCCAAAACCAACTTCAACGTAGGACTGAAGTTTAATTTTCACTGTGCTATGTTTACTTTAATTTTTGCCTGTTTAATCCTAAGAACTTTCTGGAATACTTTTGCCAGCTCCACTCTATGATTGCTCTTCTATATCAGGTGCAATTTTGTGTAAAGATAATTTGAGTTTGGGGCCTCCCTGGTGGCACAGGTGGTTGAGCGCCTCACTGTAAAGCTGTCCACAGAGCTGTGAGGGTTCAATCCCAGCCGGCTGGGGAGAAACCCACATGGCGAGGCAGACCTCTCCTGTCTCGCCAGCTGCTCTCCTCAGCAGTGTATTTCGTCAGTCTGCCTGTTCTGTTCCCTGCTCTGTCTCTGGTGAATCCTCTCACCCTCCCACGCATCTGGCCTGTACCCCCATTCTTATATAAATAAATCTTTTTTAAAAAAGATAATTTGAGTTTTATGGTGCTACCTTATTGCTTTAGAGTCTCACATCTAGTGAGATAAGCCAACTGTTCCTAACTGATAAGGAAACTGAGGCTAAAAGAGGTGACTAAGTCATTCAGTTGAAATGAAGCATCATTTATCTTGTTATTCTCAAGAACATTCTCAATAGCATGGAATATCTTAGGAGGCACTTAGCAAATGTGTGTTGAGTGACAAAATGAACAAATGCTGTCATCCAAATTGTTCAAGGAAGAAATAAACCCTGTATCAGTTAATTCAGTATTTGAATAAAGTATTTTTTGAGCCTCAGTCACCCTCTCCCCATCCCACCACTGTTACCAGGATTTATTTTCCTTGATATACATTAGGGAGTCATCAGTTCACTGCACACAGAAAAGTAGAATTATGGAAATAATTTTCTAAAGGCAAGAGTGAGTTAAATTCTAATAGGTAATACAAATGTGCTTGCTACCTTTAAAATGGTATTTAAGTACACTAGACACTAGATTATAGGTCCTTTTTGACTCTTCTGGTTATATTATGTAACTCACAAATTATATTAGTCAACTTTTCTATTACCAGCAACAACAGAAATAAGATGGTAAAAAGAATTTTGCTAAGACTACATACAACCTAGATAAACCTACTCAAAATACCTGTGTTCTCTGAACTGACCATATAAAATCAGTTTCTTTATACTAATAAAGTCTGTTACAACCATTGGCTCATAGGATTTCATAAGGATCAGTGTGAATGTGTTTGTTAAACTGTCCTGAAATTGCAATGCATTGAATCAATAGGGAATACTAATTATCATTATTGTTATTATTTAGATATTTGCATTTTGAAACAACTGAAAATATGTCGACTATTAGCTTGAGGGTTTTCAGTTTAACATGTTTTACTGTTAAACTCAGTTTAATATTTGAGAGATGCTTAATGTTTCTTTGCCTTTATCTTATTTCAGAAATGTTCATCCTGAACTGAAGTCCCTTGCCGTGGGTTTCCATGCACTAATCATGCGTGTCCTAGGTATGATAAACCTGTCAATTATACATTCAAGGTATCAATATTCATGTGAAAGCACAAAGACTCAGTGTAATTAATTTCCAATTATAACTATATATTCTGTTTTGGTAAATGAGAAATAAGAGACAAAGGAAAACCAAGTGACCTACAGCCAATTTGATTGCTAATTAGAGTCAATCTGGTGAAAACAAGAAATGATATTTGTATTACATTCCCTCTAACACAAAAATAAGTAATCTCCAAAGTTTTTCTAGGAATATTTCAAGACTTAGAATACTTCTTCCTAGCCACCAAGGTGGAAGACATTCCTTCTACAAAGTGGGGTGGAAAGGTGCAAATGATATCATCCCTCTCCACTTTGTGTTCTTCTCAGGCTGCACAAGTAATCAAATCAGCATCAGGCAGATTAGTAAAGGAAAACAATCAATTTTATAACATACATATGGAGAATTCACATGGTTGTCAAGTCTAAAGAATAATGAAACATACCAGGATTATTTACCCTGCATTTTAGGCCCTGAGGCATCAAGGACAGAGAAGGAAAAAACTTCATAATGCAGCAAGGAGGGGGTGATCTCATCCATACTTTGAGAGTAAAGGTGAGATTCTTAGAACATCTTTACTGATAAACTTAGAACTGGATGAGACCCCCAAACTACAGTCTTCTAGGTCATAAAAGGAAGGGTAGTGATTGCGTCTTCCATTAGGAAACAAGCTGAAGTTTAGGACTTTTTGATCTCTTCTGAGACTAGGGAGGAGCAAAGGAATGAGGCAAGAATAGAAGCTTTTCCTAACTTGCAGGGCCCTTACTGCTCTCAAAACAATATATGTTCTTTAAGTATTGGCAATAAAATAGGCTCACAGGCCTGAATTGACCTCTAGTTCCCAAACCAAGGTGACAAGAGGCCCACTCAGGGCCTATTGGGAAAAATCTGTGTAACCCTTTGGTGGGAACTGATTCCACAGAGTAGTGCCCAAAGCAACTTGGGAGGTCTGGAAACCTGGTCAGGCTGAGGTTGTTGGAGCCACAAAAATAAACATTCTTCATTGTGCCCTGGCATCATTCTCTAAGGCTAAGCAGCAAACCTTTAGCATAAATTTAAAATGCAAGAGGGAATGAAAACTAAAAGTATAGAACTAAGCATCCTGGAGTAAGGGAGTCTCTGAGCTAAAGAAAGTTGAGCAAATTGTGGTTTCTGTTGTCATAGAATAGGGGGGCTGTAGATTCCAGCGGATAAAGGCCTATATCTAAATATTCAAATGAGGTGATTAGTGTAAGATTAGGAAATCATCTTTTCTCCTGTTGCCCGTTTTACCACATATAGAGAGGCAGTTGCTAGTGTAACAACTTCTTAACTAGCCCCATGAGTTCCCCTTTGTAAGACCCATTAACATTATCTGCTTATTTCTGGGAAGTAGAAAAAGGGTATCATCCCTCCAGGACTGGAGTAGAAGGCTGACTGTGTCCTGGAGGCCACCTCTGATGGCAAAAGGAAAGCCAGTGGGATGGGGGATGGGGGGAGGCTATCCCTGCGACCCTGACAGACAAAAGAAAAAAACATAACTTTGCCCAAATAACAAAGAAGAAGTTGCTCAACAAGTTATATTTGGGGAGAAGGCCATAGATGCTCAAAGGTATAAAGAAGAAATACAAAGAGCCTGGGGGAGGAGAAGCTGGAGGAGCTGCAGGGTTCCATTCCCACATTCTTATGCCCTGAGTCAGCTAGCTGCTTCCATTCTGACAGTTCCTCCAGATCCAATGGAGGTGCCTCCCTCCTAGAATCTAAGTCATAGATACTAGTGACTGAAAAATAGAATCTGGGGAGTTGGCACTTCTGATACTCTAAAATGAGATGCAATGGAAAAACTCTACTAATATAAAAAAGGAAGAAAAGGAATTTTGCCCTCACAGTTATAAACATCCTATTTTGATATGTCCAATAGATGGCACAATGGAAGCATTATTTTTATGAGAGGAATAATACTGCATACCAAATTTCCAATTTACAGTTGTCTTGAATATAACATGTATAAATTATGAAAGTTCTGTAGAGTATATCAAATTGAAAAAGGCATTTGGAAAATAGGTTCTTTAAAGCTTAAAATTCTAGTAATGACTAAGACCAAGGTTGTTACCTATAACATTTAGTTTATTCAGTTTGATCAAACCAATGGCATTTTGTGTGGAAAATAAATTATTGTCATATATTTTTCATTTTTTAAAGAGCAGCTCTGATGTGTGGAAACCTGTAAATTTATCACCCACTTTCTCAGTACCAGTTTTTCTCAGATATCTTGTTCTCAAACACCAGTGGCTTCTCATTTTTGATTTCTGAATCTCAGAAAATTGAAAATGATTAGAAGTAAATTGAATCAATGAAATCTGGAAACATGAAAGCACCATTTGTGTAATAATGTTTGTGTAACCATATAAAACTTAAAAGTTATCAGAATATAAAAATGAGATGGTAAATTGTGGATATTTCCATTCCAATGCCTGAAGAATAGATCTCTAGCAGAATGCCCCTAAAATTTTGGTCAAACTACAAGGCTTGGGACTGGGAATCAGTCTCAAAGTTTTATAGAAGTTGAAAAGATATAGAAGTTGATAGCCAGAGAGCACTTCTGCTATAATATAGCATATGTGTTCCTGCAAAGTCTCACATCTACAAAATCATACACTACAAATAGAAATTGGGTTGGGCACAGGCCACTGAGACATATAGGGGTCCTTGTGATCAAAAGTGAACAGAAACACTCAGCGCCACAGCCCAAACTTGGACAGCCTATGATGCTTCAGAGGGTATTACAAATGCATACAATCCACAGAGAAAAGTTGTAAGATTTTGGGCTCTAATGACACAGGATGGTGGAGGTGGTGCTCTGAGCCCAGAAAGAATAAGCTGCCAGGAGCCCAGCCTTCCATTAAGCTGGGCCTGTTCTTCTCTGGGGAGGGAATGCTAATGGAGGCACTCACCTGTTAGCTCTCTTAAAAACAGAGTTGAAAAATCTTCCTTTGCAGCTGCTGAGCTGTAAGATTTTTCCTTTCCCTGTGATATTTTAATTCTCCTTGCCTAAGAAAAATTACATATGAACCAACATGACTTCCATGTTTTACTGACAGCTTTCTCTTTTTCATCAACCAGACTTAAGGTAATCGGTATTATAAAAGAGCAGAATATACAGTCTCCCTCTTTCATGTTGACAGGATGAAGGTAGAAAAAAAGATAATTATTCTGTTATATGTGGTTTGAGACTTTGAGGCCTGACAATTTTGGCTCTTGAGTAGATTTAGACCAAAACACTGAAGAATCCTTTCTCGTTACGATGTGTGGTGACTGGATGAAAATGGATTACTCAGAATCCACGTCCAGAACAACGAGAAACCTAGAGGGACTACACCAAGAAAGTGCAGCCCAGCTCCCAGGGCAGTCTTGTTTTTGTTTAGAATCAGAAAATAAAAAGATCAAACGTGCAAGCAGGCAAATGGGGAATGTACAAGTGTATGGGGGCTGGAACCAGCTGGCACCAACCAAGGAGAAATAAGGTGACAGTCAAGAAAAGTCTCAGTGTTTATGCTACTCTAGCCATAACACCTATTGCTGTTTCTGGACATGCTGTTTTCAGCATGTATAGACCCTCACACCAGGACTTTTGCCCTGGGAGGTTTCTTATCTTAAACTTTCCCTGTTTCTGCACATGCTGTTTTCAGCATTTATAGATCCTAATACCAGGACTTTTGCCCTTCAAGGTTCCCTATTTCCCTGTTTCTGCACACTGAAAGGCATAGAACAGTCAAAGCAAAGAATAATCAAGGCAAAGACACAGAATAGTTGAAGCACATAATAATACAAGCTCCCACAAGTCCTCCAACATTTTCAACTGTTACTTAATCCAATATGAATTACCAGTTAAATTTGAAATACATTCCTTGCATTGATTTCTTCTTATCTTTTGTTGCAGGAGGAATTCCTGCTCCTATATATTTTGGGGTTCTGATTGATAGAGCTTGTATGAAGTGGTCCATCAGTCACTCTGGGAAGCAAGGGTCTTGCAGGATATATGATTCCACCTTATATGGGTAAGTTCTCATAAATATATTTCATTAATTGATTTTTTCTTTTAATTATATTAATTCCCAATGAAATGTCATTTTCAGTATAATAAATGTTAATATGTTATAAAATGTTAATATGTTTCAGTATAATAAATGTTATAATACATGAAATGTCATTTTCAGTATAATAAATGTTAATAGTTATAGCCACCACTTCCTACCACACTTTAGAACTCTTAGCAATTTGTAACTCAGTTATGGCCCTTATGATTGTCCTTTTAGTCAGTTGTGTTCATTACTAGATTCTCTAAACTATGTTTTTCTAAAAAAAAGCAATGCATTTGGCAATGCGTATACAACAAAAAGTCCGATGGTCCCCTTATAGTTTTTGGATTTAATATTTGGTGATAACCAGATAATTATCCATTGATTTATGTTGCATAGACAAATAGTGAGCAGTCTCTCATCTGAGGAAATCTACATTATGACAACAATCCTAAATGGATTCTGTTGGATAATCTCATGATTTGTTCATTTCCTTTTTTATCTGTTTTTATTACACATAAACAAATCTGTCTTTAAGACAGATCACCATTCCAGAAATACTATACTAATGGAAAACCCTTGGTAGATTGCTAATGACCCTTAGTTTCTGTGATGTGATAATCCTTCTAAAATAATTTTAAAAATCCCTTATGCATCAATGAAAAGATTCCCTAGAATTGTTACCCTAATATTTTTATGTATAATTTCAAACATCTTTTTTTCCTTTTAAAATCTACCTACGAGAGAGTGACTTTGTCAAACTAAATGAAATTAGAACATTGTCAATTTAAAGTGAAAATTGTTTCTTTTTCCCTTTTCATAGAAATACCTTCATTGGCATGATGCTGGTCTTAAAATTCTTAGCACTTATTTTTTATATTGTGTTAATTACCACTATGAAGAAAAAAAATCAAAAAGATACCAAGGCATCAGAAAATGGAAGAAAAATCGTAAATGAAGCAGACTTAGAACCCTTATATAATGATGGACATTTGGTGCCTTCTGCTAGAACAAACAATGAAGCACATATTTAAGGGGAGGGTGAAAATTCTTTTGTTACTGTGTGTCAACCAATGGGTTATATTAAATCCATAGAATGTTACTTCTGAGCAGTTCTGGTCCTTGACTGACAATTCTCATACTCTTTCTACAATGGAACAATGAATCATCTCTGAATTTATAATAAAGAAATTATAAATGAAAAGGAATGAGAATACTCATTCAGGTATGACTCTGCATTTCTGGTTAAGATTAGAATATGTGATCTATACAAATTTAAAGTGAGAGGTATAATTAGTATGTATTAGATGGTAGAGTATTTGCTCAGGTATCGTAACTCTTAATAAAACCATTGAGTAGAAAGTAGGTATAAGCAAAAAGCAAAAGAGAAATTAATAGTCCCAACAAGGAAAAAAGTCTAATACCTTTTTAAAAAAATAAATTTAGACCATGTTATTCAGCCTGAAATCAGGATGAAAAAGGATGTATACTATCATGACATCAGTCACTCATGTTTCATCATATATTTAATAGACTTTATTAATTTATACTTGAAATTGTGTTTGACAGTAACTCCTGATGAATTTTCTTCCAAGCTTCTATTAAAATACTGTTGAAAAAATAGAGATAATTGAAATTTTGCAAGCTATGATTGTCAGACAACATATTACAGGATGTGTCAAGTTTTATTTGGGCCTGTGGATATGTATTAAGAAAAACTGATAATTAACTTGAAAAAGCAAAGCCCACTTAAAAATTGTGTTCTCTTCCCATCTGTCTGCTCTCTGGCAGAATTGCAATCTGTGCTAGATAATGTAGATAAATTACCAGCTGTCTCTCTTGTTGCAGGGTGTTTTGTTTTTTGTATGTTTATTTGGTTTTGGTGCACAAAGAGATATCTTTCACATCCCCACAAGTACAAGAAGAAGTAAAACATGTGAGCCAACATTTAAATGGTGAATTTCCTGGTGACAGCAGCTTTATAAAAGTAAATACTAGAAATTATAGTTTTTATTCTCAATAGAATATGGCAGTCAACAACATGAATGCTTGTTAGAATCTCGAATTGGACTATAAGTTGTATTTTTTAGCCTGTTCTCAAATTGTAGACCAGAGAAAAGATGCATATACCACAGAGTGAAATTTGGAAAAACCATTCACATTCACATCTAATTACTACTTAAAAAGTTTGATGCATTTTGTTTCATTTAAAAAATAGAGAAAATTTAGGAGCTAAATTTGAAAAAATTGCAAAAGAAAAAAACAACCTCTTGAACATTGAATAAATATTCAAGGTTCCCTTATTGAGTTTCACATGCATGTCAGTCAAAGTGATATGTAACACTAAGTATACAAAAGCAAAAAAAGGATTGTGCCTTATGAACTTAAACTTTACATGAAATAAGTACACTGACAAAATTCAATTATAAATTGTAAAATTATAGAATGCCATAAATTAAAAGAATATATTTACAAATATGACATGTACAGTGAAGGAAAGAGGCATTAAAACATATACCCCCAGATATTTGAGTTGAATCTAAGAATTCGGAATAATATTAATTATTGATTCAATGGCATTTATTAAAAAGGAATACAAATCCTAGGGAGAAAAGAGGAAAAATTTCACAGATATATGTAAGACAAAGCAAATTTGCAAGGAAGCAAAGTAATGCAAGAGCGCAATTAAAATCTGTATTAAAAAAGGTTAAGACCAAGTCAGTGATGAAGTTACCATTGAAAAATGTGCAAAAATGTAAAAGAAAAAGATAAAGAAGCAAATGGTGAAAAGAAAATAGATGATTTAGAGGACAAATTTCAAGTAACAGCCTAAGAAATGTGTGTTTTTGTGAAAAATAAAAAACGTCAGAACTGGAAAAGAAGCACAAATCAAAGATCTAATGGAGGAATGCCTTCCTGCTAGGAAGAAAGAACTGGAGCAGACAGTCTGAAGTCAGCACCATCTTCATATCCACCTCCATTTGCATGCAGTGGAGCCTTGAAGTGTGTTTCTTCTTCCCACAGTGTTCTTTTCCACACTCGGTGGACTGACTGCTTCTCAGTCAACATTCCGTCAACATCTCTGACTTCTTCACTGGTTAAAAATCTCTCAATTATGTCTATAGCCACACAGCACTTAATCTAAGTGGAGGTTTTACATTTCTTCATGATTTTTTGATGACTGTTGGTCTCTCTCATTTGTCATAGCTCCAAGACGGTTGGAATTGAGTTTTATTTTCACTCTTAACTCCCAGCATCTAACCTAGTGCCTGATACATAGCATGTGCTTTATCAATTATTTTTTAATCAATTAATGAATGAGTCAATGAATTAAAAAACTCCAAAAATGCTCATCATAAAAATGTGAATATTATAAAAAGAATCTGAAAGCAACCTGTAAAACTAAAATTAGCTGCATTTAAGTGATTGAAAAGGAAGTGATGAATTCAAATGTGTTGAAATTTTTCTTTAACATTTTAAAACAAAAAATAAAATTTTTAATATAAAGAAAGTGTTCTTTGTCATCTATGTGCTAATCACAGGAGATAGAAACATTTACAAAATATAATATTTGCCCTTTGGGAGCCCACAAATGAGGTGGAGAAAAAAGTATGTAAACATATAATAATATAAACTGTAAAAAAAAATCCTATAGTATTGATAGAATAAGAACTGTTCATGCCTTTCATTCACAAGAATCATGCTGATCTCTTTGTTTCACTCTCAACTCATATTTCTGAAGATGCTACCAAGTCTAAATTATTGACAATTGTAACAAATTTGTCAGCAGCATTTGTCACTTTCCTCTTTTTTGTCTGCTACTATGCTTGCATAGACTTACCATCTGGAAACCAAAAACCCACCTGATGAGAATCACATCAGAATCACACAAGCAGTGATATTTCAGCAACACATTCCTGACCACTAACTCATAAATACATCTCTCACTCCCAACCAGTTTCTGTTGTTAACCTTGATGTTGTCCCAAGTTCCATCATTGCAGGTTGATCTGTTTGAATTAAGACTTTGTCTCTGTTTAAACTGGAGAAATTATATATTGCCAATCACTTTATAAGATTCCAATCAGAAAACAGTAATTTGAAAAGATATGTACACCCCTATATTCATTGCAGTACTATTCACAATAGCCAAGCTGTGGAAACCACTTAAGTGGCCATTGATGAAGGGGTAGATAAAGAAGACGTTATGATGTCTGGACTACTACTCAGCTATGAAAAATGATAAAATCCTTCCATTTGCAATAACATGAGTGGAACTGGAGGGAAATATGCTAAGTGAAATCAGAAAGAAAAAGACAAAAATCAGATTATCGCATCGTGAAATAAGGAGAAACAAACAAACACAACAAAACAAAACCATACCCTGAGACCTTGACAACAGAATGCTTGTTAGCAGAGGGGAAGAAAATGGGGATGGGAGCAATAGGTAGAAGGGGTCCAGTGGATTGTGATAGAGGATTATTAAAACATTAATGGTTACAGTGGTGTGGTATACATTTGAAGAGGTGTGAAACTGTACTCCTAAAACATAGTGTTATAAACCTGTGTTATCTCAAAAAAAAAAACTAATATTTGGTCCCTGAAAAAAAAAAAAGCAAATATTTCTAAGGAGCAGAAGTGGAGGACATGAGGATATTCAGACAGCAAGAGAAAAGACCACAAAAAGTAAGTTTATAAACTCCAAAATCTCTTTGTCCACCATTATGTTTGGAACCTATCTTACCAATAGATTCCTTACTTTTTTTTTTTTTTTAAAGATTTATTATTTATTTATTTGTTTGTTTGTTTATACATACAAGCACTGGGTACAGTCAGAAGTGCGGGAAGGTGAGAGAATTCACCAGAGCCGGGAGCAGAGCAGGCAGAAGGACCGAAGTACACTGCTGAGGGGAGCAGTGGGCGGCAGGAGAGGTCTGCGCGCCATGTGGGACCCTCCTTTGGTGGCCAGGGAGCAGCCGGCGCCATGTGGGACCCTCCTTTGGTGGCCAGGGAGCAGCCGGGGATTGAACTGGTGCTGCAGAGGCTGCGGGCAGCTTCGCAACCCAGCGCTCAACCGCTGCGCCACCGGGGAGGCCCTAGATTCCTTACTTTTAAACCCTCTGCAAACAAATGTTCCTGTGAGTCATATTCATTTTAAAAGTCTTTGTTCAATAATTCTGATGCCTGTTTCATATCTGAGCTTGGTTCTGATGATGGCTTTGTTTACTGAGACTGTCTCTTAATGCCTTTTCTGTCTCATCATTTTGTGTTGAAAACAATAAATACAATATATGACAATTGATACAATATATGACAAATATTTACCTAGGTAAGTATTTTTTATACTTGAAGATGAGGCATCTTTCCTTCTACTAGCTCTATAGAGTGGGGTTGGTATCAGGAGTTGGACTAGGTTTGAAGTTTGCCTTTGCTGTGCTTACCCTCCTGCACCATGGCCTTCAAATTCCTCTAGGGAGACCTCCTATCTTTAGGGGTTACTCTCTACAAGGGTGTGGTTTTCTCTTTGCCTTGTTACAAAGTGGTCTGTCTCCTGCAGGTCTCCTAACAATAGTCCACTCATATTTTTCACTAGATGCTTATTACCATGGGAGCGAAGAAAGGGGGATCTCCGATAGGCTCTGTCACCCTGGATCTCGAGGTGACCTGCTCCTCCCCCAGAAGTGGAACCTTTCTTCCCAGGCACCAGAGATTGCACTTATTCCCTACATGTTTTTTTGCCTTTCCCCACTGGAAATGATTTTGCTCCTGAAGGGAAAAAGGGGAGACTGGTATGAGCAGAATTTGAAAAGTAGCTGCTGTTTTTCTCCCCAGCATCAACAGCACTCTATCAAGATTGTCTCTACATTCCAAGGGGCTGCCTGGTAGGACTACAAGAGGTGTAAACACACTTCTGTCCTGGGGCTTCAGGGGTTTCACTTTCTTATGCCCACACACTCTTAGGCTTTAGCAACTTGTTAAAAGTTTCTAAGTGAATCAGTTTAATGATTTATTCTGCATTAAGTGGCATCTGCCCCAAGTAATAGATGCTTCAATCCTGTTTCTCCCTGCAGGAACCCTCCTCCCTCCAGATTTCCTGTTAGCTCTTTGACCAAATAACTTCATTTCACTGGTGAGTTCAAGAAAAATTGTAATTTGCATTTTATACATCTTTTTCTTATTGTAAGGGTGTGGGGGTGACTCTTCTTTCTTGTCTGAGCAGAAGCCAAAGTCCTTTTTTGTGATGCTTCAATGTAAAGGAAAATGTGCTTCAATTAGCTTTATGAATTTTCAAGACTAATTTGAACCATTTGAGAATAATTTCTTCCTTTTCCTTGCCTAATTATAGTCACCATGCTCTCCAGTAATTAAATATTCCCCAGTAAATAAATATTTACAAACAAACTCTTAGCATACCTGTCATTCAAAATACATCTTCCCTAAAGCAACTCACTGCACAGGTCCAAATCATTAGGCAAGAAGGTTTTGATTTTATTCCTTTTATCTTCTCACTTGATATTTTTTTGAAATGGGATTTAAAAAAAAAAAAAACAGGTTTGCTTTGATTAACTCTGGATTTTTTTATCTAAAGATTTATCCCTCGCACCTGTGCTCTCTAGGACAATATCACCCATACTCAGTAAGGTCTTTTCATTAAAATGAGGCCTCTAAATAACTGATAAAGAAAGTAGCGAATAATGCCTTTTAGAATGGAGGTGAAGAAAAGGTTTAATTTTGCAAATACATCTAAAATTTTGAAAGACCACAAGAATATTTCCAGTGTGCCAAATTTGTTAAAGTTAGTTATGAGGTATCTGGGTCTGCAAATGATTTTTCTCCCAGCTCTTAAGAAACATATAAAATTATGAAAAAAAATTAGATTTTCCATGCATTTTATAGTAATCTAAATATAATTTCCTCCATGTTAAACATTCTAGGAAACTGAAACCAGTATATCTTTACTAATGCAAAGAATCCAGCTCATGCCATCAGGGAAATTTTTGTGTTTAGAAATTGACTTAAACAGGAGTTACAGAAATCCAAAGGCTAGAATAGCATTATGATTGTTTGTTTATTTTATTTTTTAGTGTTACTTAAATTTTTCTTGGGGAAAATTGCAAAAAGAAGCTTCATATTTTGCTTTTGTCATCTGCATGGCTTTATTCAATAGCATTTATTTGTAGTGGCGCTCTGAGCATTATTGGGCCATTCCTATCATTTTTCTCTCTAATGATATTTATATCTACCTAGCTATACAAATCAGGCGATAACATTGAGAAAAGTTAGAAGGAAAGTAAGTGCATTAAGAAACACAAAAATAGTCCAAATTGTTTGTTGGATCCATACATCTCTTCAGGAATAAATATGAAAAGTACAGATGGGTCATAAATTTTAAAATCACTTCTAAAATTCCCTATGAATTTCATGAATTTTCAAGACTAATATGAATCAGTTGAGAGTCTTTCTTCCTTTCCTTTGCCTAAGTCTGGTCACCATGTTCTCCAATAACTATTCTCCAGTAAATAAATATTTACTCTTAGCATACCTGTTATTCTGAAATGCATCTTCCCTAAAGTAGCTCACTGCACAGAATCTAAGCAAGTGATGGCACAGTAATGAGTAATCTATTTTAAGTCATGTCTGGAATGACTAGGAAGAGATAAAGAACAATTCCTAAATGGAGTATGAAGATACAGCTGTTTTCACATGGAAGTGATAAATTACAATAAAACTCTTAAATATTCAAGCAGTGTGAGAATTTCAGTCTAAGTAATCCAAATACCAAAGCAAAATTTTAATGGACTTAAATAGATTCTCATAACAGGAAACAATTTAAAATCATGTAGAAAAGCAGATGTGGGGAATAAAGCCCTTATTTTGCATGAGTTAAAAGAGAAATTGCTGTTTGACATAAAAATAAAACTGGTTCTAATATGCTGTTTTGAGGATTGTTATAAATGTCCCTCTGAGGGAAATCTCAAGTTCCATTGATGCTTCAGAAATATCATCAGTGAACATTTTTTTAAAACTTGAGTAAAAAAAATTTTTTTGAGGTTCTTAAAGAAAAGTTAAAGTTACCTGCAGTACCTCTATTGATTTTAGAAACAATTAAGTTGCAGTGTATTCTCCACTTCTGGAAAGCACAGCACAATAGAACATTACAGTTTAGTTTTCAGCTCTCCATCATGCAAATCTTTGGAATTTTGGTGCACATCTTTGCACTCTTTTTCCTTCCCTGTAACCTTTGTCTCCATCAGCGCAGTTCCTGAAGAGGCATTTTCACCAGGTAGCTGATACTTCCTCAAAAAAAAAAGGACCAAAAAGGCTGGAATATAGCTTGATGCTCTTAACCCTGCTGGCAGTCCAAGGTAGATGCGTCTATCAAAAATAAAATGTTAAGACTTAGTGAATCTTACATAGTGAGAGCTAACTAACTAGCTTCACATATCTTTCATTGTTGATATGATATTCACAAAAGGATGACAGCAGCTCAGGGTTTTGTCTGTCAATCGTATATTAGCAAATTTGCTGAATTTTCTTACTGATTCTAATGTTTATTAAAATGTTTTTTGAGAATATTCAGAAATTCCAAATTTACTTTCTTTTCTCTAATCTCTTACTACTGTTTTCATTTAACATTTTTATACCAACTTACCTTAATACTGACAGTGATTGCAGGATTCAGTCAGAATGCTTCCAAAGAATCACCATTAATTATAATATTTTCTCTGAAGAGGAAATGCAAATGGCCAACAGGCATATGAAAAAATGTTCAACATCACTTGTAATCAGGGAAGTGCAAATTAAAACTACAATGAGATACCATCTTACACCAGTGAGAATGGCACATATTAAAAAAACTAGCAACAACAAATGTTGGCGAGGGTGTGGAGAAAAAGGAACTCTCCTGCACTGTTGGTGGGAGTGCAAACTGGTCCAACCACTATGGAGAGCTGTGTGAAGATTTCTGGACCTACTAAACATCAAGCTTCCATATGATCCAGCAGTTCCACTCCTAGGTATTTACCCAAGGGACACAGAAACATCAGTTCCAAAGAGCACCTGCACCCCTATGTTTATAGCAGCACTATTTACAATAGCTAAGCTATGGAAACAACCCAAATGCCCAAAAATAGATGACTGGATCAAGAAGATGTGGTACATATACACCATGGAATATTACTCAGCATTCAAGAAAGATAAACACATGCAATTTGCAGCAACATGGATGGCGCTGGAAGGGATCATGCTCAGCGAAATAAGCCAGAAAGAAAAAGAAAAATACTGGATGGTCTCACTCATAGCAGGAATCTAGAAAACTTAAATAAGGAAATAAGAATAACTATAAGAAAGAAAATATCAAAATCAACAAATAACTATGAACAAGAGACACTCTATGGGGGGTGGGGGGCGGGGAAAGGAGGGCTTGGGGTATAAATAAGGGGGTTGTAATTGTATGGGGAATATAAAAATAAAATTTAAATTAAAAAATAATAATAATTATAATATTTATTTCTAGATCACCTTGATCAGGTGTAGGAAATTCCTCTCTTCTGAGTTTCTTCAGAGTTTCAATTATGAATATGTAAATATCATCAAGTCATTTTTTGGCATATGGTTAATAAAACATAAGAATTTTTCTTTTGTATTGATAGAGTGTGGAGACTTACATAAAATTTAATGTGGAATAGGTCATATTTCAACTGAAAGTGATGAACTTAGCTTTTTAACCATCAAGTTTGTTCATATGTTTTTAAATTTTAGCTTACAAGCTCTTTTTGGTGTTTTATGGGTGGTGGCTTGCTTCTCTTGCTCTCTTTCTCAGTACTTTTATCTCCACATGTGTAAATATTGCATTTGCTTTTCACAATCCCCCAGGTCCTTAGGCCAAACCTTCTTCTCATAAGGGTGATTTTTCATAATAATAGGAATAATCACAGCGGGAAAGAGCAAGTAGCTCAGTCCATTTCTTGGGCATTTCTGTTTTGTTTTATAATGTCTTTTCACAGTGAGGTTTGTACATTTCTTAGGAAGCTGTAACAAAGTAAAACATTTATTTTCTCACAGTTCTGAAGGCTAGAAGTCTAAAGTTAAGGTCTTGTCAAGGTCCTGCCTCTTCTGGAGGCCCCAAGAAAGAATCCTTCCTTGCCTCTCTCTTTCCATCTACTGGGTATTCCTGTAATCCTAAATCCTTGGATATAGATGTATCCTGCAATCTCTGCCTCTGTCATCACATGGCTTCTTTAGGGGACACTCTAATTTAGTATGACATTGTCTAAATTTAATAAATTCCATTAATAAAGAACTTATTTCCAAATAAAGTCAAATCTGAAGTTATGGATGGACATGAAATATTGAGAAGCATTACTCAATCCAATCCAAGGGTGTTCTACCACATCACTTGTATTAAAGCACTGAATGGGCATCTGGTCTCTTGGCTCCTTAGAAGTATTTTATTTTCCCTTTGAAGGCTGAACTCCCAGAAATGCTAATTCTTAGGTTTAAAGCCTTTACACTCATTCCTTTATGCTTTTGCTCAATTTCAGGAAAACTGGATGTCAAGGAATGTGTTCATATAATCTTTGAATCTAGATGTGTCTCTTTGAAATTCTGAAAACATATTTTATCTCTTGCTCCTATTTAGATAGAAAAAATGCATCAATATGTTACATAATGAATCATCAGGTTGTTCTACTTTATTTAAAGTTACTTCCTTTTCCTTTTTCTGAATCCTGGGTTCAACAAATTTCATGATAAAAATAGATACTTTTAAATTTAATCAGATATTTCTAATTTCATTGCATTTAGACAGAAAACACAGGTTACATGGTATCCACACATTGGATTTTTTTTTAATTGAGGTAATATTGGTTTACAACATTGTGTATTTGTATATGTCACCACACCACACCCAACATCAAATCACCAGTCATCCTCCACTATGGACCATTGAGTCTCCTCTCTGCTTTGTTTCCATCCCTTCTTGTAGCCTTAATTTTGCACTCAGATTTCTAGAGCTTCTTTTGGTTTAGTTTTGTCATTTCTTTCTTTCACTTCTCTCTATTCCACATACGAGTGAAATCATCCAGCTTTTATCTTTCTCTTTCTGACTTATTTCACTTAGCATCATCCCCTCCACTTTCATCCTGTTATCACAAATGGCCAGAATCTTTCTATAGCTGAGTAGTATTCTATTGTGTATATACCACATCTTCTTAATTCACTCATCTTTCCTTTGACACTTAGGTTGGTTCCATAACTTGGTACTCCAGTGAACATAAGAATGCATATCTTTCTTCAAATTTAAGGAATTTGAAGGAATTTGAATTTGTTTTTACATTCTTCCAATAGATATCTGGGAGTGGAATTGCTGGATCATGTGGTAGATCAATTTTTAGTATTTTGAGAAACCTCCGTACTGTTTTCTTAGAGACTGCATGAGTCTACATTCCCACCAACAGTCTACATTCCCACCAACAGTCTACATTCCCACCTACATTTCTCCACATGCTCACCAATGCTTGGGTTTTTTTGTTTTTTTGTTTTTTTACTTTTTTGGTACAGGCCATTCTCACAAGTGTGAGGTAATGTCTCATTATGGTTTTGATTTGCATTTCCCTGATAACAAGTCTTACTGAAAATTTTTTCATGTTCCTATGAGCATCTGTATGTCTTTTGGAGAAAGGTCTATGTAACTCTTTTTAAATAATATTCTTTGTGGGTTTTTTTGTTGAGCCATATGAGTTTCTTTTAGATCATGGCTATTAGCCCCTTATTGGATGTGTGATGTGAAAATATTTTTGTCCATTCAGTAGGATGTCTTTTCATTTTAACAATAGTTTATTTCACTGCACAAAAGGTTTTTATAGTTTGATGTAGCCCTTTTTGATTATTTTGCTTTTGTTTTCCTTCTTATTGGAGTCAAGTCCCCAAAGACAGCACTGAAGCCAATGTGGATTGTTTTACATATGCTTTCTTATATGTATTTTATGGCTTCCTGTCTTACATCCAAGTCTTTAATTCATCATGAGTTTGTGTGTGTGTGTGTGTGTGTGTGTGTGTAGTTTACCCAACACCAATTGATTTTTCAGTTTATTTTGTATTGTTTATTTTCTCATTTTTATTGTCATTGGTTTACCTTTGCCCCTATGTGGAGCATTGTCCATCCTGCACACCCTGTGTGAAGCATTGTCCATCCTGCACAGTACATTCTGCTCCAGAAGTAAACAGTATATATCTTTCAAGGCCATGTACTATTCAAACAGCCTTGAAAATATAGTCCAGAACAAAAGCTTGTGCTCACAAAATATACATAAATGCAAGGAACACAAGGAGATTTGTCTACCAGCAGTATCTGGCTCTTGTTTCTATACTGTTTTAGAGGCTATAAATTTCCTCATGAATATACTTTATCAACTACCCTAATTCATCTGAGAGACAGAGTATGGTACAAAATATAATTATTTTGCCACAAATATCATTTAACTAAGGGTGCTGTCTACAAGATTCCAGGCAGCAGGGTGAGATGAATGATCCTCATGATCAATACACTCGTGATCCTTGCGTCCTTTAGCGGTGATGCAAACCCACTGCATGCACAGTGTGTCCCTGGGATTGCCTTACACTACCCATGTGGAGTACTGATGTTTACATCAGTCTCATGCTGTCTTCTCCTGTCATAGTTCTTGACTTATGCTGATCAAGATAAAACCTTCAAATGTTTTAAACAATGCTAGATTATTTTTTTAATAAATGACGGTGTTTTCTTACTGCTTCATGAGGAGAAATTGAAAGTTTAAACAAATTTAGTTCCCCAAATGAAAAAGTACATGAAAAGAAAAAAGGGAATTTTTTTGTTCAAGTTAATATTATATGAATTTTGCTCAAAATCACATGTATATTAACAAAAATTAAATTTTAAAAAACAACACTGGGTCAACAGAATTTAATGAGGGAAACAGATACCATTTTGGAGTTCTGAGGTCCTTGGTGAAAGGAGGTAAGGATTCAGGCTAGTAAGATGCTGAAATGATGTAGGATAGAATAAATGGGCAGCTTATGCATAGCCATAATCTGCAATAGTGAATTGATTGCAACCAATTTCACAAAAAAAATTTTGAGGGCCTCCCTGTTGGCTCAAGGGGTTAAACACCGCACTATGAAGCAATCCACAGCCCCTGCAGCACAAGTTCGATCCCCTGCCTGCCAGGGAGCAACCCATATGGCCCAGTAGACCTCTCCTGACTCACCCGCTACTCCCCTCAGCGGTATATTTCAGTCAGTCTGCCTGTTCTGTTCCCTACTCTGACTCTGGTGAATCCTCTCACCCCCGCATCTCTGACCTGTACCCCAGTTCTTGTATGCATAAATAAGTCTTTTTTTTAATATATATATTTTTTAAGATTTATTTATTTATTTATATAAGCACTGGGTACAGTCAGAAGCACAGGAGGGTGAGAGAATTCACCAGAGCCAGAGCGGGGAGCAGAGCAGGCAGAAGGACCGAAGTACACTGCTGAGGGGAGCAGCGGGCATGGCAGGAGAGGTCTGCGCACCATGTGGGACCCTCGCCTGGTGGCCAATGATCAAACCGGTGCTACAGAGGCTGCGGGCAGCTTCACAACCCAGTGCTCAACCGCTGCGCCACCGGGGAGGCCCATAAATAAATCTTTTTAAAAAATTTGCAAAGATAGTCTAAGCAAGTTATCCATGCTTATATTTATTTAGTATTTTGAAAATAGTAAGGTAGTAAAATTCCAATTTATAACTAAGGAATGGAGATACAGTTATAGTATCTATTTTGGAAACAAAAATCTAAAAGTAGTCTATAAACTTAACAGAAAACATTAGATAAATGATGCCTTTTTATGCACAATGAATACTTAGAAAGCAATTCTTTTTAAAAGATTATTATCTTTACCTGAAATTGGTAGAATCATATATCCTGCATGCCCCCAATTCTCCACATTTCAAGGTTCCCCAATGTAAACATGTGGAGTCAACTAAAGCTCCAAAATATATAGGTGCAGGAATTCCAGCTACAATTAAAAGGAAGAAAGAAGAATCCATCAAAAAGGTAAGAACTGAAATATATTGTTTTGCTTATATATTTTTTATATTCGTTATAGATTTCCTGCAACATTTAATAGTTTAATTATTGAATTTCTCATTCATTTGCTTTTTAACTCTTCTAACTGATGAAAAATAGAATTATGAGCAGATCAGTCCATTTCAAGTAAACAGTATTTCTCCACCTCTTGTACTCATTCTCATGCTAATAACCAATTCACTAGCAGGGTGGATATTTGCTAAACTGTTGCTCTGGGACAGTGATTTCATTTACTAAGTATTTAATAATATTCTAATGGAATGTTGGGAAAAATAACTGTTTTTACCAAATACTCTTGTGGAAAATGCATGTAATCCCACACCAAGAGACTTCTCTTCAGGCTTGATACACCTAAAATACAAGTAAATTCACAAATAAAATAAAAATAGAGATTTAAGTACTATATAGTTCCTTAAATTGTGTATCCTAGTTACAACCTGAGAATTAGAAAACATTCTTGGTTTTTCAAGGCCTGATTATCACTAAGTGTAATTTTGCTCAAATATGCAAACACAATTCAGCCTAAAAATATCTATTATTTTATTTCACTACACTGAAAGTAATGAGTGGAAAAACTATATATAATTGTTTTCATAGATGCAAAAAAAATTGATAAATTTGAACACCTATTTTATCATTTTAAATTCAGAAATTATAGATAAAATTATATAATAAAAATCTACAGCTAGTATCATACTTAATGAAAATTTTTCATATGGTTTCCATGGGGATTATAACCAAAATATACATACATTGTACAAAAATGAAAAATTATGTAAAAAATATATATAAAATTAAAAAAATGATAATTAAAAAATAAAAATACAAAAAAAATTAGAAAAGAACAAGAATGCTCACTATCATCACCACAGTTAAACACAGTTTTGATATCCAAGTTGATGATATAAGAAAATTTTAAGTCTCAGATGTATAAGACTTAAAAGTGAAGAGAAAAAGCTTTCCATATTTAATATATTTCTACATAGTAAATATTAAAAAAAAGTTTTTAGAACAAATAGGAAAGGTTGCTGGATTAAAAATTAAACTTAAAAATAACCACAGCATTTCTGTAAACCAGCATTTCTCTAGCCAACTAGAAAATATGAGAGAAAATAGTGCCATTTTGCATTACAAAATGTGTGATCTGCATCACAAAAATATGTATATCCTTATATTCATGCATGGATATAGATACACATATATGTGGATATGTGTATTCATTATTGTCAGTTGCACCTTATATGTGTGTATAGTATTCAAAAAAGAAAAATTTTTTTAAATGAAAAGATATTCCATGTTCACAAATATTTGATCTGGATTAGATTTTCTCCAATCTATGGAATCCACACAGACTTTTTCAAAATTCATATGTAAGTATAAAGATCCATGTATGAACAGGCAAGTCAATTTGGAAAAGGGATAAAAGGAAGGGTAAAGGAGGCAGTGGTGTGTGAGTGAAAAAGATACCATATATGATATGTAACATATGTTATATCAATGTGATAAATTCAATATTGCACTGGTATGAGAACAAACAAAACTTTGAAACAGAATAGAGTGAGAATTTGTTAAAACTTGAGATATGATAAAGGGGGTACCACAAATCAGTGGAGAAAGAACCCTTTATTTAGAGTATGATGATGGGAAAATGAGTTTTTTATATGGAGAAAAAGAATACTAGCTCCCTCCCTTGCTCCACACATAAAGATAGACTTACTTGGTTTAAAGAAGTGTAATGTAAAAGGTAAAGCTGTAAACCTGGTAGGATAAAATTTAGGGGATCATTTTTATAAATTGGTAATATGGTACAACATCTTTTGTAAATTTTAATCTAACATTGATTTATAACATTATATAGATTTCAAGTGTCCAGCCTTGTGAATCAACATCTGTACATATTTATAATCAACACCAGGAGTCTAGTGTCCCTCCACCATCAGACAATCACTCCCCTTTAAATGAATTATCTATCCTCCCCTCCACCTTCTTTTAACCACTATTTTGTTTTCATAGTCTAAAAGTTTGTTTTTGTCATTTGTTTTATAGAAACATTTTTTAAATTATGTCTCCTCAAAACACAAGCACTAAGACAAGAAAGATTAGATTTCAATAAAACAAAATTTAGAATTTCATCAAAGGTACTGTGAGATACTAGGAAAAGATAATTGTATAATATAAGCAATAGTACATTAGTATCTATGATCCAAAGAGTAATCATCAAAACCACCAAGGAAAATAAAGAAAATACAAAGGAAAATGAACAAGCACCTTGTAATAGAAACCCACATGACTAGAAAAAAAGTTTTCAGAGATGCTGAAACTCACTGTATCCAGAACTAATGTAGTAAAACATCAATGAGCCTCCACTTCACACCCACTAGGAGAGTCACATTCAGAGTTATATGGCTCCAAGTGTTATGGGAACTGTAAGGAGTGGGAACTCCCACAAAGTGCTGGTGTGAGTTCTGGAAGTACTTAGTGAATTTATATGTGCATGTGCCTTGTGAAACAACACAAGACCTACACAGCACTATCTGTGTGGATATAAGCACACACACAATCTTGATACTTTACAAAGGAAAATACATGTTTAAGGACATATACTGTCATATTAATGTGGGTGCACATGGTGAGAATAAGTGGGGAATGGAATGAAAAAATTTAAAAAAGAAAATCAAGCCAGGGGGATGTTACCCCAGCTTTTGATGATAATTTGCTGTCAACTAAGAATTAAGATTAATTGATATTGCTTCTGATTTCCAAGAAAAGAGAAAAATTGTGAATTGTGTGTAAGATTCTTTACTAGTCATGAAGTAGCCTATATTTGGAAGAACACATGTTCAGTATGCCTAAGTTGGAATCTGGCTCTGCACATTCCTAGGCTTAGAAAGCCCTTCATCCTCCACATCTCATAACAGCCTTGGTAGGGAGCAGAGAACTTCTTATTATGCCTATCCTGTATTAAAGAAAAATGGAGCTCAGATATATCAAGTGACTTGCCTAATGCCCGGTAGATAACTTGGTAAACAGGTTTCTGACACCTTTGGACTCTGTTGTCCAAAGGCTGAACCATAGGAAATGAGTACTAGGCAACCCACTTCTGACCTCCCAAAATGACTATTTCATATGGTTTACCCTAAGACATACACATGTCTTCGTCTTAAACAATAAGACGTAGTAAGAAAGGGATGGTAGGGAGGAAAATGCCAACATTTATATTGCTAACTTTAAGTTTTTGTAAAATTTAACAAAGCTTAATGGGAAACTTTAATACGTGATATTTTTCAACCCTGACTTCTTAGATGCCATGGCTCCAAGTGACTTTCTTAATAAAAGTTGTCTTCATAAATGATTAGACAGGGATCTAAGTAAAGAAAGTAGTTCTTGTACCTCAGGAGAACCATGTATCCCGGTATGGCAGATAGAGAATAAATGAAACTGCTGATCGCCGACAAGATTAAAAAGTACTGAAGCATCATGGAACAGCCGTGTCCTTTGTTACACAGCCCAAGGACTGCAGATGAATTACTTGATGTTTGGATACAGCTACAATTTTGGAACACCTGCCAGGAGACAGTATGTTATCCTATAAAAAAGAAAATCTTTAACAAAATCTCAAATATTTTCTACATACTGAATTGGATCAAGATGGAGATTTTTCCCTTTTATTCTCATATCCATTATCATGTCTCTTGGGGTTATGACATGAAACAAAACATAGAAGAGTAGATGTATAAAAATGGAATTTCTTTCTAAATATATGGATTAAATTTTCAATAGGTCAGCTATCCTAAAGGTATAGTTTTGTTTTTTTTTTTTTAAAAAAAAAGTACATTCTGCTTTTGTCACAGCACTAAGTATGGCAAACAAAATTTATTTCAGAATTCTCAGTTAAAATATTCAGATGCTTACAAATAGCCAAAGCTTTGTATAGTTTATTTCAAAACAGAGTAAAGGCAACTCTTCTAGAATTGTTGTTTTCAGGTTTTAAACAGAACCAAAATTTATATTTTGCTATGATCACCCACCAGCATCATAAGTAGTGTTACATTTTTCAGGCAAGAAAACATGCCTAATTTCATCACCTTACAAAGTAGTGAGAATGCAAAGAACACAGATCACACGTGTGTATGTACAGAAAAAAAGAACAAAACCAGTAAAACAATTAGTTGGATAATACAGATCAAAACTGCCAAGTTGATCTCTGTAATCAAAATGTGTCCAAGTATTTTTCAAACAAATTTTTCTGGGTAAAAACTTAAGAAATTAAAGATCAGTGCTGAGACACTGTGAAAGTTTAAATAACATCCAGAAAATTAAAGGTAAATTAAAATGATCATATTTAAGGCAACTTATTTTTGCCACACAAAAAAAAATCAGGTTTTAAGGAATGATTGAATTTTACTTTTATCAAATGTGGGCCCAGTTCATAGTTGGAACATGCCATTGAGATGCGTCAAACAAAAGTTCTGCAGAAAAGGCAATAGGATGTGTTACCATGTTTATTCCTGTTCCAACCGATGTCACACAACCAGCAAGACAGGCTGACATATACGACAACCCATTGTCTCCACACACAGGATCCCATATTTTAGTGGGACAGTTGCAGTCCATATTGCAGTCATCAAGGATAGTATTTCCTACAGGTAAATCTTGTTGCATTCTGAAATAATTTAAAGTAATGTCATGAATATGAAAGAATATTAGAGCATTTCCCTTTTCTTCTTTTCATCTCAGTCCAGTGATATTCCCTCCCTTATCAAAAATAGCAACAGACAAGATTCTGACCTCCCAAAATGACTATTTCATATGGTTTACCCTAAGACATACATGTGTCTTTGTTTTAAACAATAAGACGTAAGAAAGGAATGGTAGGGAGGAAAATGCCAACATTTATATTGCTAATTTTAAGTTTTTGTTTATATTGCTAACATACATATTGCTAACTTTAAGTTATATTGCTAACTTTAACTTTAAGAAATCTTCCCACCATCACTGTGGCTTGGACACAGCAGCTCTGGCATAAAAAAAAAATCTGGGCGGAGCAACATGGCGGCGAGGAGACGCTGCGAGTAAGATCTCCCATTAAAAAAAGTGAATAGGGAGGAAAAGCGGCAGGTCCCAGTGAGAACTGGGACACGGAAGATAAACGGGTGACGCCAGCGAACTGCCCGAAGAAGAAAGTGGCCATAAAAGAGGACCAGAAGGGAGGGAAGCACAGAACCCTGCTCCCCTCCCCCGCCCACAGAGGCGGCACTCTCCGACCCGCAGAGAGGAGGAAACAACAAACCAAAACGGCCCACAAGAACAAACGACGCAGCAAGCGGGGCTGTGAGTGGAAAGGAACTATTGCAGCCACCACACCCCGTGAACGGGAGCTGAGGCGAACCCTGCAGGATCCGCCACGGCGGTGAGCGAACGGCTCCTGGCGCCATTAGAGAAGAACAAAGACCCCCGGGAGACTCGCACACAGCCCGGGCTGCCGGTAAGCTGGCACGGAAACGCGGCGCGCTCGGGGAGCTTGAAAAGCAAGTGCAGACCGGGATCGCGGCTGCCCAGGTCCCCGCGCCTGCGACCTAGGCTTGCGGGGAGACGCGCGGAGGTCCTCACTGAGGTGAAGGTCCCTCCCTGAGTGAGCAGGAACCAGGCGCCCAGGCACGGGAGCTGCGCAAAAGGCGCCATTCCCGCGCCACTGAACTGGGCTACAGCCCGCGTCCTGGAACTGAGGGCTTTGAACTGAGACCCGGGGCACGAAAATTCGGGGCGTGGTTTCTCCACGATGGTGGGGCACAAGGCAGACACAGCACCCCAAAGCTGTTGAGGTGTACCCTACCATTCCCGCTCTGTTCTCTGTCCCACGGGGTGGGGGGAGGAGAAAAACAGCCCCCCAAGGACAATAGGAGAGATCTCTGGCGCCACCTAGTGACCAGGAAAAAAAAAGTCACTAACACCCTATAAAACAGGACATTTCTTAAGACTGCTTGAAAAGGGCAGAAGGTTTCTGGAGGACCCGTGGCCAGCCGGGAAGTTATTCCACGCCAGGCCCCTTCCGACCAGCAGTCTGAGCCCACAGAGGGAGCAGGCACCCACGTCCGGGGCAGACCGGGTGCGCAGAAGAGTGTGCCTGAAACCGGAGGCGCAGGGACTGCATCCCGCTTCGCCATTTGAGAACAGGGACATTTCTTCAGTAAAAACTGCCTAAAACCAGCAGAAAGCTCCCCCAGAAGACAGAGATGGCTCCTGGAAGAGCAGGAGGGGAGCGGAGAAGTTCACCCAAGATGTCAGTCAGTCCGAGCAACACAGTGTCCCAACGCATACGACAAATTAGAAAACAGACAGTAGGGAGTAGAAGAACCACACGCAACCTAAAAACTCCTCAGGAAAGAAGCACACCACAAAAAGAAAACCACTCCCCAGATTGCAACGACAGCAACTTGGAAGAACTTCTGAGCCTTCCAGAAAGAGAATTTAAAATTGCCATGATTAAAAAAGTGATAGATCAGAAGAAGGAAATTGAGTCCCTAAAGAGGGAAGTAAGAGAAATGCAGGAGATCAAAGAATTAATGGAGGAACTAAAGAACTCTGGGAAAAGCAATGAAAGCAGAATAGATGAAATGGAAGAACGAATAAGTAATCTTGAAGACACAGAAATAAAAAGAACCAAAACAGAAAAGGAAAGAGAAGTACGAAGGAAAAAGAATGAAGAAAGACTTCGGGAACTATCTGACTCCATGAGGAAAGGAAATATAAGAGTTATAGGAATTCCAGAAGGAGAGGAGAGAGATGTAGGAACAGAGAAAATATTCATGGATATAATTGAAGAGAACTTCCCAAATGAGAAGAAGGAGCTGAAAATTGATATACAAGAAGCAAGAAGAACACCAAACTTCCACGACGAAAGGAAAAACACAGCAAGACACATAATAGTAAAGCTCCCAAGAATCCAGGACAAGGAAAAAATAATGAAGCTGACAAGAGGGAAGAATCAGATAACATTCAAAGGAAAACCAATCAGGCTGACATCAGACTTCTCTGAAGAAACACTACGGGCAAGGAGAGAGTGGAGGGACATAGTCAACAGACTCCAAGAAAACAGATGCCAACCAAGAATACTCTATCCCGCAAAGCTCTCTTTCCTCCATGAAGAAAGAATATGGACCTTCCCAGACAAAGAGAAACTCCGGAATTTCATTGCGACTAAACCCCCACTCCAAAAAATACTACAAGGAATCCTAAAGCCAGAACCTCAGAGGGACGAATAACAACGAAAGAAGACCAAAAAAAAAAAAAAAAGTTATTAAAAGAATAAATAAATAAAATCAAAGGAAAGACAAACATAATGGCAAATACAGATGCTAACATATCAATATTAACTCTAAATGTAAATGGACTAAACTCTTCAATAAAAAGACACAGAGTTGCAGCCTGGATTAAGAAACAAAACCCAACCTTTTGCTGTCTCCAGGAAACACATTTAGCTACAAAAGATAAAAATAGGCTCAAAGTTAAAGGATGGAAAACAATCCTACAAGCAAATGGGCCAAAAAAGAAAGCAGGAACAGCTATACTTATATCAGATAAAACAGACTTCAAACTCAAAAAAATAAAAAGAGACCCCAATGGTCACTACATTATGATTAAGGGGACAATACTTCAAGAAGAAATAACACTCATTAACATATACTCACCAAACGAAAGAGCACCAAAATATATCAGACAACTGTTGTCCTCTCTGAAAACAGACATCAGAGAAAACACATATGTAGTGGGAGACTTCAACACACCACTATCAACACTGGATAGATCAACAAGACAAAAAATAAGTAAAGAAACTAAAGCTCTAAATAAGGACCTAGAGCATTTGGGCTTAACAGACATCTATAGAACACTAAACCCAAAAAAAACGGAGTACACATTTTTCTCAAGCGCACACGGATCATTCTCCAGGATCGATCACATACTGGGGCACAAGACAAACATCAACAGATACACCAAGATTGAAATCATACCAACCATCTTTTCTGACCACGAAGGCATCAAACTAGAAATAAATCATAAAAAGAAGGCAAGGAACTATCCTACCTCATGGAGACTAAAAGCCACACTACTGGAAGACCACTGGACTAACGAGGAGATCAAAGAAGAAATTAAAAAATTCTTTGAATTGAATGACAAGGAGGACACCAATATCCTAAATGTATGGGATGCAGCAAAAGCAGTAATAAGAGGAAAATATATAGCAATAGAAGCTCACATCAAAAAACAAGAAAGAACTCAAAGAAACAACCTAATCTCGAAGCTCAAAGATCTAGAAAAAGAACAACAAAAAAACCCCAGAACCAGTAGAAGAAAAGAAATAATAAAAACCAAAGCAGAAATAAATGAAATTGAAACTAAAAAAACAATCCAAAAGATCAATGAAACCAAGAGCTGGTTCTTTGAAAAAATAAATAAAATAGACAAACCCCTAGCCAGGCTCACAAAGGAAAAAAGGGAGAAAGCACAAATACACAGGATCATAAATGAAAGAGGAGAAATCACAACGGACACAGCAGAAATCAAAAGAATAATCAGTAACTACTATGAACAGTTATATGGAAACAAGTTCAACAATCTAGAGGAGATGGACAAATTCCTACAACTCTACAATCACCCAAAGCTAGATAAAGAAGAAATAGAACACCTAAACAGACCAATTACAAGCAGCGAAATTGAAATGGTAATTAAAAACCTCCCCAAAAACAAAAGCCCAGGACCTGATGGATTTACAAATGAATTCTACCAAACATTCAGAGACGAATTAGTGCCTATCCTTCACAAACTCTTCCAAAAAATTGAGAAGGAAGGGACAATACCAAACACGTTCTATGAAGCCAATATTACACTAATACCAAAACCGAATAAGGACAACACAAAAAAGGAAAACTATAGGCCAATCTCCCTAATGAACACTGATGCAAAAATCCTCAATAAAATTTTAGCTATCAGAATCCAACAATGTATCCATAAGATAATTCACCACGACCAAGTTGGATTCATTCCAGGGGCACAAGGATGGTTTAACATCCGAAAATCAATCAACGTTATCCAACACATCAACAAAAAGAAATATAAAAACCATATGATAATATCAATAGATGCTGAGAAAGCTTTCGACAAAGTGCAACACCCATTCATGATAAAAGCCCTTGAAATTCTTGGGATACAAGGAACATACCTCAACATCATAAAGGCCATCTATGACAAGCCAACAGCCAGTATCATTCTCAATGGTGAAAAGCTGAAAGCAATTCCATTAAGATCTGGAACAAGACAAGGATGTCCACTCTCACCACTGCTTTTCAATATAATACTGGAAGTCCTAGCCAGAGCAATAAGACAAGAGAAAGACATCCAAGGAATCCAAATAGGAAAAGAAGAAGTCAAACTATCACTATTTGCAGACGATATGATAATATACATAGAGAACCCCAAAATCTCCACAGAAAAACTAATTCAACTCATCAATCAATTCAGTAAAGTGGCAGGATACAAAATCAACACGCAAAAGTCAGTAGCCTTCCTATACACAAACAATAAATCTGAAGAAGAAGAAATCAAAAAAACCACCCCTTTTATTATCGAAACAAAAAAAATCAAATATTTGGGAATAAATCTAACAAAAGAGGTAAAGGACCTATACAAAGAAAACTATAAAACACTGTTAAAAGAAATAGAAGAAGACACAAAGAAATGGAAAGACATCCCCTGCTCATGGATTGGAAGAATAAACATTATTAAAATGGCCATCCTACCAAAAGCAATATATAGATTCAATGCTATTCCAATCAAAATCTCAATGGCATTCTTCAAAGAAATAGAACAATTATTGATGAAATTCATATGGAATCACCAAAAACCCCGAATAGCCAAAGCTCTACTGAAAAAAAAAGAAGGAAATGGAGGCATCACACTCCCAGACTTCAAACTCTACTACAAAGCCATAATCATCAAAACTGCATGGTATTGGAACAAGAACAGACATACAGACCAATGGAATCGAATAGAAAATCCAGAAATAAACCCACAGATTTATGGTCAACTAATCTTTGACAAAGGAGCAAAGACTATGCATTGGAGCAAAGAAAGTTTGTTCAATAAATGGTGCTGGGAAAACTGGGTCGCTACATGCAAAAGAATGAAGCTTGACCACTACCTCACACCATACACAAAAATCAACTCAAAATGGATTAAAGAACTAGACATAAGACCTGAAACCATAAAATACATAGAAGGAAATATAGGCGAAACACTACGGGATTTGCACATCAAAGACATCTTTACAGACACATCACCCAAAGCAGTGATAGTGAAGAGAAAGATAAACAGCTGGGACTACATCAAATTAAAGAGCTTCTGCACAGCAAAAGAGACAATAACAAAAACAAAGAGAAACCCCACCAACTGGGAGAACATTTTTGCACCCAACACTAATGATAAAGGACTGATCACAAAAATCTGCAAAGAGCTGATGAGACTCAGCAACAACAAAGAAAATAATCCAGTCAAAAAATGGGCAGAAGAGCTAAAAAGAAACTTCTCTGAAGAGGAAATGCAAATGGCCAACAGACATATGAAAAAATGTTCAACATCACTTGTAATCAGGGAAATGCAAATCAAAACTACCATGAGATACCATCTCACACCAGTGAGAATGGCACATATTAAAAAACTAGCAACAACAAATGTTGGCGAGGATGTGGAGAAAAAGGAACTCTTGTGCACTGTTGGTGGGAGTGCAAACTGGTCCAACCACTATGGAGAGCTGTGTGGAGATTTCTGGACCTACTAAACATAGGGCTTCCATATGATCCAGCAATTCCACTCCTAGGTATTTACCCAAAGGACACAGAAACATCAATTCCAAAGAGCACCTGCACTCCTATGTTTATAGCAGCACTGTTTACAATAGCTAAGCTTTGGAAACAACCCAAATGCCCAAAAATAGATGACTGGATCAAGAAGATGTGGTACATATATACCATGGAATATTACTCAGCATTCAAAAAAGATAAACACATGCAATTTGCAGCAACATGGATGGCACTGGAAGGGATCATGCTCAGCGAAATAAGCCAAAAAGAAAAAGAAAAATACCGAATGGTCTCACTCATAGCAGGAATCTAGAAAACTTAAATAAGGGACCAGGAAAATGAATATAAGAAAGTGAAAATCAAAATCAACAAAAAACTATGAACCAGAGACACTTTTTGGGGGGTGGGGGCGGGAGGGGAAGGATTGGGGTCAGAATGGGGCGTTTGCAATTGTATGGGGGACTATAAAAATAAAATTTAATATTTAAAAAAAAAAAAAAACTGTAAAAAAAAAAAAGTAATTAAAAAAAAAAAAATCTGCTTCTGTAGCTACTTTTTCAATGATTTATCTCAGAGAAGCAAATAACCAATAAACAAGCATTAAATCAGTGCCTAACTGTATACAAAGTACTTTCCCAGATATTATCAGAACTCAAAAATGAAGACCTAATCTTAATGGAGTTTGCAAGACTTAAATCAGATAAATGTATGCAAAATTATTTTGTGGTTTTATATCTAAAATTATTTCAGTCAAATACTCTTGATAATTTTAAGGGCAACAATTTAAGATGCCCTTCATTTCATTTTAACTGTCCAAATGAATTTAAAAACTCATATCACCTATTCATACATACATACATACATACATATATATATGTGCACAATCATAAACTCACTAGCACTGTGATATATATCCTCAACCATTTTCATAAGCCTAGAGTTTGGATGGATTGGGTTATGACTGACAGATGGAGAAATGATGGAGAAAGACCATAAATTACTGCCACTAACTCCTACTAGCAAATGAACTGATCATGGATAACCATTGGAGAAAACAGATTTTTAATTGCAGAAAGAAATTAAAACAACATACCCTTCATAAGACGTGGTTATGCCAGCAACTGAAGAATTTTCACAAACCATGAGAAAACTTAAAAAATACAGAAGATACTCAATTAAAGAAAACCAGCATCCTATGTGAGCAGCTTGTTTGACAGTAATCTTGAACTTCTTCATAATTAAGCCACCAACTATATATCCAATGCATATTGGAGGTAAGTTATAAATACCTATAAATGCAAGTAAAATATTATTTACAAAGTGTGATTCCTAAGATCCCAGTAGGTGTGACAAGTCAAAGCACTTACCCCATTCTTTGGGGTGGGATTATACATATATATTACATATGTGTGTATATAGAGGATTTACATGATTTTGCAGTTGTTTAGTCCTACTTCTTTGTTAAGAATTTGACTTGGTGCACAAGTACTTTAGAAGGGTTACTTTGCTGAACCTGTGATAGTCAAGTGTATTTACATTTCATGTCTTGGTGCTAGTGACCAGCATTCTCCCTCCCGCTATCCTTCCCCCAAATAGCAAAAAAAAAAAAAAAAAAGGAAAAGGGAAAGACAGCCCTATGATGTGTTCTTACAATGCCAGGGTCTGCTCACTGAAGCACATTCATGAAGGAACTTGTTAAAAAATCCCTTCCAGAGTCCCATAGAGAGTCTGATTTAGTCTTTTTGAGTTGGGGCCCAGATACCTGAAAATTTAGCAAACACTCTAGCTGATATGGATGCAGGTAGTCTGGGAATTTACTTTCAAAATAATAAGGCAAAGGGGGATAAAGGGGGCCTTCCTGGTGGCAGAGGGGTGAAAGTCTCAGTGCTATCTAGCTCTAGCTAGCCACTGCTGCATGAGTTCAATCCCCGTCCAGGGAGCTAACCCACATGGTGCAGCAGACCTTTCCTGTCTCGCCCACTGCTCCCCTCAGCATATATTTCAGTAGATCCACCTGATCTGCTTTCCACTCTGTCTCTGGTGAATCATCTCATCCCCCACACCTCTGACTACACCCCAGTTCTTATATGCATAAATAAATAAAAATAAATCTTAAAAGAAAAAAAAATCCCCAGACAGGGGGTAGTGTGTTCACAGAACTATGGGGCTGCAGAGACACTTCACACCACCAAGGGACCAAAGAACCAAATTAGGAAGAATGTGGGTTTATAAATTAGAGACAAAAAGGTAAAATCTGGGAATAACACAGAGACTCCTAATGAGTGAACTCTGTCCTCCTTTTTAAATTAATGGGTTGCCCATCTGCAAATCATATCTAGTTTGTGCCTCCTACAAATATTTCATATTTGCATTCTAGCTGGAGAGAGAGAAGAAGGAAGAAAGCCAGAGTTCCTTGGCTTCTTCCCTTTCTGACCATTTCTTTATTTTCCTGGAGAAAGAAGGAAAAATGTACCAGACACAGAAGTATGCTAACATATTTCAGTTCAGGTGTTTCTTAAACCCATCACACTGTTGAGCATTTCACAGAAGGAAAGGGGACTACTAACATAAACAAAAACAAACATACCAATTAGGAAGATAGCATCCGAAGCAGATTTCCCATACTGCTGTTCCAGATATTTAGGCATGAAGGAGATCATATTAACAAATGCATTGAACTGGAGGACACTTATCAGTATGAAAAGCATGTAAATTGGGTTGCATAACAGGCTTTTCATGAATGGGAAAAAATCTGAAATGGAAGAATACTTGTCAAACTACCTCTGCACCTTGTTAACTTTCTGAAACATCAACCTCAGATCCATATTATGTGTCTCTGTTTCATCATATACTATGTTAATTCTCTTTATTTCTCGAAAGCTCATGTTAGAGCTTTGCTTTGGTAGCTTCTGCCAGTCAGTGACGCGACTTACAGCTGATAGGGCAGGGAGCTGGGCACAGTGGTTTTATCTTCACTATGTTACCAGTGTGTATTAAAGAAAAAGTATAACATGACCAAAATATAGTCTGGGTTCACATCATTTCCTTTTTATCTTTCTCTTTCCCTTCTATGAATATCATCTGTCTTCTCTAGGGATCACCTGAAAGAAAAAATGCTGTTCTGTTCTCTAAACTCTGGAAGGAAATCTATTTGACAAAACTATGTTCAAATGTTGATATTATTACTCTGGACATTTAAAATGAAGATGTATATAGGAACTCATGGAATATAAATTTTCTTTAGTATCAGGTAATTTTTTTTCTTTTTTAGAACAAGTTTGGGTGGCTGCCAATAGGATGTATATTAAAATGACCTGGTGATCTTTGAAAACACCCAGGTCCAGACTCACTCCTTGAAATCCTGATTTATTTGTCAACTATGTAACCAAAACTTTTCCCTGACTCTCTGAACAAAGTTCTGAGTCAAATTCTTAGCTCATCTCTACAGGTGTTCTGGGTAATGCTGCCTCCACTTGAGGTTAAATTCTCATTTTTACTTTCTTTTTTTCTTATTTTCATGTTCTCTATAAGAGAACTAAGATTTGTGATGGTGTATTATCCTGGTTTGCTTAATTAACTTTCCAAAATCCATTCTGGAACAAGTAACAAGTAAACTGGAAGAGGAAGAAGCATAGCCTAATGCAAAGAGGTGAGTTATATTTGTAGAATTCGCATGTATGAATAGAGAATATGGCAGGGGACAGAGAGTTGTATTCAGAGTTCACTGGAGGTTTGTAAATCATCCATGTTTGTCGATATCCCTGTGGTAATAGGTGAGTCCCTGTAGTTCCAGTGTCTTTTCTGTAGGTATTACACTCAGCTAACCTGTTTCCTAGTATTGAAAATTGATCTTGTGGTACACAAACAATATTCTATTTTGAAATCTATCAGTCTATAAAGTCCTTAGAGAAGAGTTATTTATTATAATCATGATGACGGAGATTTACAAGATCTTTTACTGACCCCTAATGATCCAAAAAGTATTATCTTAAATTGTGGTTTAGGTGAATTTTCAATTGTTGACAAAAATTCTGTGCAAATTGGTATAATTCACGGGTGATAGTAACATAGTAATAACACTAATACTAGCAGTAATAATAATAATGTGTGTATAACTACTTTTACCCTTTTACCACTCTATAATAAGTATTATTATTATTATTATTATCCCCATTTTCAGATAAACTAAGCCATTCCTACCTTCAGTCATACTAACTGAGACCTGGCAATACCACAGAATTTCCAGGCATCAGTAATTTTTAAAATTTCCTAGGTGATTCCAATGTATGATTAAGTTTGGGAATCAGTTTTCTTAAATATTAAATACCTAGATTACCTTAGCTTATTTGCCATAGAAATCCCTTCTATAAATTATGCTTTGAACTTTCATTGAGGACTTACAAAGGAAACTGTTATATGAAATAAGCTCCTGTGTTTGCTAGAAAATCACCTGTGGTTGAATACTCCTGTATCATGCATCTTATGAAAACTGTCTCTTTTTCCAATTTGCTACTTAGGCAACAGTTTCTCTGTAAGAGTGGCCATTAGTCTATCAAATATAGGGAATTATATGACAATTATATTTCTCTCTTCCACTTTAACTCCCAGGAAACTCACAGCTAAACTTACATTTTTGGTTGCAGAACTAGATACTTATTTCAATAAGTGTACTTTTTTTTCTCTCCTTTCATTCTTAGTCTGAATTTCTTTTTTTTTTTTTTTTCAGCCTATATCCTGCATAAAACAGGGTTTTTTATTGGAAAAAATAAAAAATAATGAATAAATTTATTAAATGCCCGGATTGATTTAAACATTTATGTAAATGGCAATCTGAGATAATGCAACTTGTAAATTAGATATTTCCAAGTAGTAGCCCAGAAAAAAATCAGACTAGTTAGATATTATTGAATACTGACTATTATTGACAAATTGTCTTAATACATTTTAACATAGAGTCAGGCTACAATACAGACACATCAATATAAAACAAAAAGTAAGTTGTGTAGAATTTAAAATGTTTATATTTGCCTTTAGTAAGTCCATCCTTTTCCTTCTTGACCTCTCTTTGTTTCTCCTCTTTGTCATTTTTAATGATCTCTGCATTATTCTGTAGCCCTTCCTTCGGCAGCGTTTTGGGCAAAAAGAAAAATGGAATAGAAGTGAGCACATTCACTCCTGCGCAGATCAGAAAGCCAAACCACCATGCACCGACCCAGCGACTATCAGTGGGAGTTATGGTCAGTTCATCTGTAAAGAAATGCACACATTTTTAATTAGCCAAGGTCATTCTGTCCTTAGGAACTAGAAAATTATTAAAGCTATAATTCTCAGGTCCTATCCAAATAGAAAACATGTATAAAATTTAGAAATTCATAAAATGTGACAATACTTATTATCACAAGATTGTAGCAATAAAGTGGTTAGACTATCTGCTTTGTCATCACAGGCATTTGGAAATAGGTTCTTACTAAATAGCTCTAACTACTCAGAAGTGGTTGCTTGGTTAAAAGAAATGCAAATCTATGTGCTCAAATCTTTTGAAAACAAGAAATATATGATGTCATGTAGTAGAAAGCACTGGATTTTGAGTCAGGAGATAAGCATTTTCGCTTGCTCTCCTGTTCACTGATTTGAAATACTTGAAAAATTATTTAGACTCCTCCACTTCAGTTTGCTCACCTGGAAAGTGGATATGCTCTATCTAAGTGAGGGTCAGGTAAGGCAATGATTAACTGTGCAAACTTGCCCGAAGATACCTGTGAACTCTAGACATTGGAATATTAGATTCTGTTGGATTACCTGTACTCACAGATCCAGTGTCAACATAAACATTTGCACAGAATGACGCTAACAGAAGTCCAATCAATGGACCTATGATAGCTCCTGTTTCTATAAACCCTAAAAATAAAGGAAAATACCACGTTATAATACACATAACCCACAAAAAAGAGCCCTAGTTCCATGAGGAACCCAAAGATTGAATTGTTTTGGCTTTATTTTTTCCTTAGATACTTAGTTTCTAAGAAACTTGCTGGGACCTCCCTGGTGGTGCAGTGGGTTGAGTGCAGTGCTATGAAGCTGTTCACAGCCTCTGCAGCCGGGGTTCAATTCCCAGCTGGCCAGAGAGAAACCTACATTGCAAGGCAGACCTCTCCTGTCTTGCCCGATGCTCCCCTCAGCAGTGTATTTCAGTCTGTCTGCCTGTTCTGCTCCCCACTCTGTCTCTGGTGAATCCTCTCACCCTCCCATGCTTCTGGCCTGTACTCCAGTTCTTATATAAAAATAAATAAATCTTAAAAAAAAAAAGAGACTTGATGTACATCTAAGTAACAAGATTGTTTCTATAGATGTTGAGCCTCGTAATTGAAAGCCACTTTCTCTAGGCCTGCAAATTTTCTATTTATGTGGGAGCACAGGTGTAGATTCATTCTAGCTGTGTAGGCCAGGGTGTGCTATCAACAATACCATGCTACAGAGTACAACTGTTCTTAAAAAAAAAAAAAAGAGACTTGATGTACATCTAAGTAACAAGATTGTTTCTATAGATGTTGAGCCTCGTAATTGAAAGCCACTTTCTCTAGGCCTGCAAATTTTCTATTTATGTGGGAGCACAGGTGTAGATTCATTCTAGCTGTGTAGGCCAGGGTGTGCTATCAACAATACCATGCTACAGAGTACAACTGTTCTGATGTTTCTGAAAATGATCGTATTTTTAGAGGAATTCTAAAGCCATGCCATGTTAAGATGAATTTCTTGTGACATATTCCCCAGAAAAACGTCATCCCCAGATCTCTGACTTGAAAGTTCCTCTGGCTGTGTCTTCAGTATCACTGATAATTCTCTTCACTTTTGTCATGATTCACCACATTCTTATCTTCCATTCCCATCTGTCCTCTCAAGTTCTTACTGATTAGAAACTTTATTAACAACAATCTCATGCTTTTTCTATCATTCGGATTAGATAATGAGCTCAGACATGAGCTTCTTCAGAAGGCTTTCTTCCTCTTCAAAATATGTCCACACCTGTTGTCTTTGCCTTGTCTACAGTTGTACAGTCCCAGCCCCAACACCCCCTTCCCTGCCCCCGTGTACTCCCCTGACTTCTTGGCACCAGCCTTTTCTGTCTTCTGTGAACCCTTGCTTAACCAAATACTCCCTTTCTTGTGCTTGTTCAACCTCCCTCATCCGCTGATTTCTGTATTTCAAATCCACCTTACTCTCTTTCCTTTTACTGTGCCCAGCCTCTGTTTCTCCCCCTGACCCCATTAACTCTACTCAGATTCTTTCACATTCAATTGGAAATACACTCAAGTAGCACAGCAATCTCTTTGCCACTTATCCATTGTCTTTTTCTAGTATTTATCCTCCTAACTCTCATGGTTATTTGACATTGCTGGGCAGTTGTCACCCATGAATCTTCCTTTGGCTTTCTTCTTCCTCTCCTCACTAAGTAAAGTGTTTCTGAGTATTTTACCCTCCAGCCTCTCACTGTCTATATTATCATGGCAACCTCATTTCTCCCTCTTGATTTCACTTAATGTCTCTGTATAGATGATTCTTGAACTTTATATTGAAATTTTGTATTCTCCACCAAACTCTGGACTCATATATGGGAACTGTTTTCCTGGTGCATAGTAATTGATTTATAGTTATTTAATTATACCATACATTTACCAAATTTTACAGATTTATAATCGTGTAATGACTTTTATACAAGCCTCATATATACTATGTCTTATTCATCTTGATACAGAAAGTTGTCACAGTTATTTCTATGCATTATACCCCTTAGTATTCATTGGCTAAATAAAAGCATATAATAACAAGGTATTTGTTAATTTACTATGGGTGAGGATTTTTATTCTTTCAGTATAAACATGTAAAGGGATTCAAAGCATCAGAGAAACACTGAAAAAGATTGCAAAACCAGTGAATCATCAAAAATTGCCAAAAGTTACTGGAGGCAATGATAAAATATTTTAATATGTTTTGATAATGTGCAGTTCTGTTCCTATCTCTTCTTGCCTTTGACTTCTCTGATTTTAAAAAAAATATATGTCTACTAGCAAAATGTCCCTCTACTCAAAGTTATGATTTTATAACCAATTGAACAATCCAAGCAAAAAGAACTCAAGACATGAGATTCATACTATTTCTAACAGCAAAATGCAGATTTAGCAAAATCAGTTACTTGGAGTTAGCATGTAATTCTTCCATTTAACACATTTTTACTGGTGGTCAACTGTGCCAGGCACTCTGTTCATCATTCCGAAAATCACTGAATCCAAATAAACATTTGCTACCCATCCTCAGGGTGCCTGCTGGCCTAAAATTGGGCTACAGCAGTTTTTCAAACTCACCAATATATAAAGGAGAGTTCTCTGATTTGGCAAAATCTTCTATGTAGGACAGACCCAAAGGCATGATGGGAGTTTCACCAATTCCACGTATAATATTTCCTACCAGTACGTATACCCACATTAATGATTTAACTTCCTTCACACACTCTGCGTTAAGAGAAGAAAATGACATTGCATTAATATCTTGGGAGTAAAAAGTGAGTAGCATTTAACCCTAAATTTTTGGTAAGCAATTTACAGTTCATATATGCCCAAGAAACCCCATCCATGATTTTTATTAGTAAGCCAACAGTGAATTATCAGGTCCTCCCTTTTGCATTTTCTGACAAAGTACTGAGATCTAGTTAAGTATATGAAGTAAGCTGGAGCCCATCCCTGCTCATATGTATAAAATGTATACATATGTATAACAGTACTCATCTTTGGATAGATCTTTGGGTGGATATCTTTCACTTATTAAATAACCATTTAAAAAATAGATAGGCAGTCTTAATACATATATGCAATTATAAGAGAGAGAACATTCTCTATTACTAGCCAATTCTATTCCCCTCCATGATCCCCTCCAAAATCCCTGAAAAAAAAAGTTTTTCTGTTCATTTACCTTACCATATGTATAACAGTACTCATAGGGAGATATATATACATATATATATAAATATATATATAATTATATATATATATAGTTAAATCCAAGTCTTACTGAATTTTAAATTCTCTACAGTTCTAATTACTTTATAGAAACTGAAAATATTTACCTGGGTAGTTATCTCATTTTCTCTATAGAGTCAACTATAGACTCTAAACACCAAATAACTTTTAATAAATAAAGCCTTCCCAATCCTTGAAACAGTAGCTACAAAGTAAAATAACAAAAACTAGGCCAAAGTAGAAGGGGAGGAAAATGGCAGATGTATGAAGACTTTAATCTACCTCTTTGTCACTTCCTTTCTAAGATAAAATAGCTGTCAAGCCAAGAAGACACTTGGTGGAAGTCATATGTTCAGAAAAGTGAATGACAACTTGTCCTTATTTTCTATTACCTGGCCAGGTACCACGCACAGGTATAAAGGTGCTGAGCAGAGACAGGTCTGGACATTTCTTCTGAGGTTTGTCTCTCAGCCATTCCCAGTCCAGAAAGTCATAGACTCCATTTCTGGGTATTGATTTTTTTTTTTCTGGGGATTTTTTTTTTTCCCATGGTGAGCACAGTGACTTATGTCTAGACCTCTCAGGCAAACTCTAGGCTTACTCTAGAGCAAAATTGGAAATATCAGATGATCAAAGAATTAATACACTTTCCGCAGCAATTCCACAGTGGGAAGATTTTGATCTATTACAGTGCAGATTTTTTTAATGAAAAATAGGAAATAGGACCTGAGTCACTCTTTGGCAAAAGTCACCTCACAGATCACAGACAGAACACAGGCCATTGTTGATAATGTTTTCCTTTGTCTCCTCCCCAGGGTGTTCCCTTGGCTTAGAGTTTCTGAAACAGCTATTTTTATACTCCTTGAAAGTCTTTTGGTTCCTTCTGATTGCATAATGGCAGTGGAATTTTTATCCCGGAGAAACTATAACTTCTAGTGAATCCAGCATAAAAATGTCCCCTTCACAAAAAGAGAAGTTCCAGTCTGACGTAAGCCATCTGGGTCATCTCAGGACTAAGTATCACCAGAAGATATTCTGGGTCCCTTAGCATATGAAGGGTCACAGATGTGTTTGGAACATAAGAAGGAGCAGCAACACTATTATTTCATTGAAATGTAAAGTAGTACCTCTGATAAAAGGAGAAAGGCACAAAAAGACAAATTCCTACTTGGGAAGAAAGAAAATTGAGTAAATCAGAATGATAGCATACGTGCCTGCTTTCTCTGCTATAGAAGATCAGTGAGATAGCACACACCTCTTGGAGTTTGTTACTATTTCTATTTCCTATTTACATAATTGTATAGCCCAAGCTAATAGTAGAAATCCATCCTTCTAAGATGTTTCCTTCATATAGTTAACTCTACAGTGATCTTTGGATAGATGTCTTTGACTTATTAAATAACCATTTGAAAAAATAGACAGGCATTCTTAATACTTATATCCAACTATAAGAGAGAGAGCATTTTCTATTATTAGCCAATTCTATTCCCCTCCATGATCCCCTCCAAAATCCCTGAAAAAAAAGTTTTTGTGTTCATTTACCTTACCAAACCAATAACTCATTCAAAACCCTCAGCAGAAAATGTCCAGTTACAGAGTCACTGAACAGAAAGCAATAAAGTGAGGTAGACAACCTGATGGTTCTTCTGTTGGTCTGAAAATCTGGGTGTCGTTTTCCATACACAAGAAATTATTTGAGGACAAATTTCCTGAAACTGAAACTGTTGATTCATATTCATATCTGTATGAACACAGGGAAAACATGTTTTTGTTAAGGAGCCAAGAAGGACAACATAAGCACTGTACAAAGAAAGACCCAACGTCCAGATCCAGTAAAGACAATGTCTTTTCTTCTAGACAATGTAATCATCATAAATTAAAACCATCAAAAAGAACTTGCCACTCACTGTAAATGTGCACTACCTTTACAGCTAGTTTTCAATTCTGTGCATGTGGATGGTCTACCTTTTGGATGAGCTAATGTCAGCTTTCTGTGGTTTTTAGGTGATTATTTCCTGGAAATAATGATAAGGAACTGTAGATAAGGAACTGAAACTAAGGGAAATAATAGACTCAATAAAGCATAATTAATAAGATAAAAGCTTTGGGGAAAAAACACAAGAGAAGTCTCCAATTTCAGATTCTCTGAGGTTTGCTTATAAGAAATATACTCCCACTTTCCGAGAATCAAAACAATAATACTTTCTTGTGTATGTTAACTCCTAAGAAAAACAAACCATTTGCCATCATAAAGAGTGACCTGAAGGGAATCTAAAATACTATAACAACACAATGTAGTGAATTTTTCTGTTCTCATAAGAACAAAGACTGGGACCATTTACCTTAGGCACCTGCCCTTCCTCAGAAAGTAAATGACACACTATAATTATGGAGGAAAATATGTCCAATTGCGTCTCTGTTTCTTAGAAATTATGTTGGATGTTTTCTATATTTCTCTTAGATAAGAGAAAGCCAAAGAAAACTTGTCCTTCTGCGTTCCAAGGAGTATTATGCTTGGATGTCACTAGTAATCCTAATTGCTACGCTATGTAGCATATTAAAAAGGGTCAAAATAGCAATAGATTAACCTTAGAACAATTGCTCAGTCATGCCCAGGGAGTTTGACTGTGAACCACAGGCAAAGCTTCTGTCTTCATGCCCATTGATTCTATGAAACATGCCAGCCTCAGACAAAGAAATAACACATTTCAGAGGGTAGAGGGGATAAAAATGTAAATAAAAACTAAATGCTACTTAATGTTGTCTTGGATAGGGTAAAAGGATGTAAAGGGACGGTGAAAACACTTTATCTGGAAACTTCAAATTCCTTCAGAGATGCCTCAGAAGATGAGTTATCCTTTCATTCAACTTACCCATTAAAACCTAGTAACTCATTTGAAGTCCACTCATCCCCAAAACATGAACAAAATGACAGTAAGTGGATTTTGAAATGAAAAGGAAAATGTATCATGTCACAAGGATAAAGAGAATGAAAGATTTGACTAGATGAGAGTTTGATGAGATTTTGAAAATGAGAAAGCAGATAAGCAAGTGGTCACTGAATCAGTAGATGAAAGAAATACAACCCTAAGTAAATGCTTTGAGGGAAACAATGAAATTTGTGACTCATATATGTGAAGAGAGAAGGAGGCAAAGCAAATTCCCAAAGATAACTGGACAACATCAAAGCAGTGATACAGCATGTCTAAACAGTTCCCAGTACATACTGTACATGGAGAAGTAATGGTGACAGAAGAGGGGCCCCCAAGATAAAAATGACACCCTCTGGTATGTGAGAGTCTATTGAGAAGACACTGCTCCACCAGGTGAGAATGTGATAACAAATATTTAGCGAGAAAAAGAAAATCAAACTTAAAAGTGGCAGTTATTCAATCCAAGGAAACTAAAAAAGATAACCCTATGGTGCATCAGGGAAAACAGTGTTCACAGACATATGGAAATACCGAATATGAGCTTGTCAGTATGACTACATAAACACAGAAGTATCAAAAATGCAAAGAATAAGCATTTACTTGGAAATATGGAAGCAAATAGCAGGAAAAAAGAGCTAAAAGAATTGTAAGGGGCTGCCTCTGGGCTATATCTAAGGGGCAGGGGGCAGATCTTTTTCATTATAAGCCTTTTGATATAATTTCATCTTCACAATTTTGTATACATATTACTTTGGTAAAAAAATTAAAATAAAATTCAACCACTTGGTGACCTACAATTAAAAAGAACATCATTATAATCAGAAGTATCTCGATAGCCCCAAGAAAGGGGTAATCCCAAATTTTTGCCAGGTCTTAAGACTCTTCATATAAGACTCGACTCTACAAAAGAGGTGTCTCAAATCTGTATGTGGGAGCCAGACAGTCAAGAACACACACAGACTTGTGGAACACGATCTTCCCATTGAATCTCCCAGCACAGTGCTCCATGCTCTTAGAAAGGAAATTCCAAGCTTCATTTCCTGCAGCTGAAATTTGAACATAAAACATCATGAGAGACTGGAATACTTGCCTGTTCATGAGGAAATGAGGCAGCGATTGCAAGAAACACCCTAGGCCCATGACCATGCATCCAACACCAATCATGATAGGCCTGTGCAGTTTGGTTCCAAAATAACTCACAAATATGATCAATAAAAGATTTCCTAGGGGAAAAATGAGATACAAACAGAATATTTCAGTAAGTATGAGTGAAGTCTTAAGAACCTCAGACACGACCCTGAAGGAGAGCTCTCTTTCACGATGTCAGTAGATAAACAGAACTGTAGAATACCAGCATTTAGAGGGCAGAAGAAGAGCCTGTGAAAGGGACTGTTCATGGTTCTGGGAAATATAATGGCTGTATATATCATTATCATATATCATTATCTGATCTTAGGGAATTGGATGCAAAGGTAGGTGTCAGCCTGCAGGTCCCCTCTGTCCTCTCCCTCCATGCCTTCTCCATAGAAGGTTGTCATGTTTTGCTAAGCTTGAAAAGAGTAGCAAAAGTCAAATCCAGATAAATATGTTTTATAGCTCATGATTCAAGTATAACTTTGTTTTAACCACTGAACCAAGCCAAAGAACTGTTTTTATTTAGAAGTAAACTGCACCTTAAAAGTAAGTCTGGATTTGAAGCACAAATCACTCAAGGAAAAATGTATTCCCAAGACATAGGGTAAAGAAACCAATTATAGAGATCCTGTTCTGACACACAGGCTCATAAGTAAACTAAGAGCATCTGGAATACATGGTTGAGAGCGCCAAGCAGATGAGTAAGTTCTCAAATCACACATTTTTTAAGTCAATAATCAGTATTTACCCTGATCCTACTATGTATAAGAAAAGCCTCTGCGATGAACTCTTATAAACATAAACTCTTCTTCAAGGCACTAATAATTTTCTAAGGTGTGTATTTTGAAGGCTTTTTTTCCATTTGTTTCTCTCATTTGGCCTGTCAACCCCTCCATTATTTGATATGGGGAATGCTCCATCTCTGTAGACATGGCAGCTGCATTGGACTCACTAGGTTTCTAAAATCCCCATGTTAAAGCCACCCATATTTTTTTTTCATTAAACAATTATTTATTGTGCTTGTGTGCCAAGCACTAGTTAAGTGCTAGATTCTTATTTTTTTAATAATAAATTTTATTTTTATATTCCCCATACAATTGCAACCCCCCATTTTGACCCCAATCCCTCCCCTTCCGCCCCCCAACCCCCAAAAAGTGTCTCTGGTTCATAGTTTTTTGTTGATTTTGATTTTCACTTTCTTATAGTTATTCATTTTCCTGGTCCCTTATTTAAGTTTTCTAGATTCCTGTTATGAGTGAGACCATCCGGTATTTTTCTTTTTCTTTCTGGCTTATTTCGCTGAGCATGATCCCTTCCAGTGCCATCCATGTTGCTGCAAATTGCATGTGTTTATCTTTTTTGAATGCTGAGTAATATTCCATGGTGTATATGTACCACATCTTCTTGATCCAGTCATCTATTTTTGGGCATTTGGGTAAAGCCACCCATATTGAAGGCAGTATGTTCTCAAGCTGCTACTGGAGATCCACATCAGTTTTGAAAGGGAAACGAAGGAGATTTCACTTCTCGAGTTCATCTTTCCCATTGCCTTGTCTTATTACCAGAATAACTACCATGAGAGGGGGCTGGGAGGGACAGATAAGTTTTTGTCAAGGCTATGGAAAGCACTGTCTGGTAAGAATTACCAAGGAAAGGTAAGCAAAGGGATACTTGGAGCACATCTATAAATTACTTCTCTTTCACTCTCAGGTCATCACTCCTCACACTACCTGTTATCACTCACTTTCCGCAGTCAATTTTTTCTACTTCTCAAAAAGCTGAGGAGAATCTGACTTGAAAGTATCTGAGCTCCCCACCAGATGGCCTTAGCCATCCATCTTTCAGGGTCATGGCCCATCTGACCATGCAAGGTCTAGGACACCACCCGGGCATTCCCCTTCCTTCTCTCAAGATATTTACTCCAGTAATTAAAATCTCTCTCATGTATTGTGTGTCCCCTTCTATACTGCCTTTTAGTTACAGATATTCTCTACTTTCTCTCTAAATGTCAAGAACATTCCTCCTCACCCCCTCTCATTCTCTTCTGAAAGCAGTGGCCTCTCACTGTTTTCTAGCTTCTAAATCTCCTCTTCAGCTGATATCATCAATTATCTCCACATTATAAAACCCAGAGAACAGTTTTCCATCCTTCTTTAGAATTTCTAATGTTTGTGATACACTGACAAGTTCCTTTCCTTTGAAAATGTCTGTCTTTTGACATCCATCATGCCCTTCTTCCCTGTTTCTCATCTTAATGCTCTGACTATTCCTACCCTTAACACTCTCAAAGGCTCCTTTTCTTTTACCTGTCCCTGAAACACTGGTGCACCTCAGGGATCCATTCTTTGTATATTGTACTTCCCACCCTATATCCTCGCCATGAACTGCAGCATCTCTTTTCTAGTTTTAACAAGCACCCATTTACTTGCTATTCAACAGTTCAAATTCAAATATCTGCAGCATGGACACCTACTACAGAAACAGAACTCACTCTTCATGGTCCCCATAGCCACCACCAAACTCGTGTTCCTCTTCCCCACTTCCTCCTCAGTAGCACTGTCTACTTCCCTGGTCCAGCTGTAAAGCTGCGGTCTCCCTCTTTCCTTTTTAATGCCTGCCACATTCAACTTTTCACTAAATTTACTGGAACTTAACTCCTTAGGTCATGTTCTTCCATCCATTCCTACTAGAGTGATCTTGACTCAGGTCCTGAGAGCCTGGGCTTGGACTTTTGCATGGACCTTCTGATATGCTGTTTGCCCCAGTCTACTTGAACATCTTCAAACCAGTCCTCAACACAACTACAAGTGTGGCCAGTCTAAAAAGCAAAATATGAGCCTTGCTTGAAGCAGGAGTTCTTATCCTGCATTCTACAAACTCCAGAGTCCAATGATAGAGATCAGGGGTTCCATGAACTTGAGTGAGAAAAAAAACAGCATCTTTATTTTCACTAGCTTTTAACTAAATGTTAGCATTTCCGATGATAGTGAGAGTAAGCACAGACTATAGTATTTATTAACAGTACTCCCAATTTTGTCATTAATTTGTCACCAGTAGAAGTTAGATGTTTGCACTTGGCATTGAAGATACCTCAAATTACTAATGACAGTAATCACCACTTCCAAATTAGTGTAGATAGTGTTATTTAATGTGTTAAAATGCACAAAATGTTTTGATATTTTGATAATTTCACTTCAATATAATTGACTGTCTTTGTACCCATATGGCTTTTATCTTATACAATTAAAAGCATTCTGAGCTCCTGTAGCTAGAGATTGCCAAAGAAGTCCTTGGCACAAGAAATATCAATAACCCTATCAATCTCTGAGTAACTCTCCCTTATCCTCGAGGATAAAAGGTAAGTTCTACAACAGCATGCAAGTCTCTGCATAGTCCATTTCTTACCCCATGGGCAGCCAGTAATTGTAGGCTGGTGGTGTTCCCCACACAAGTTAACTATGCTTCATCAATTGGAATCCTCTTCACACTTATATAACCCCATTTCTTCATCTGGATAAAATCTGGTTGGCTTTCAAGAGCCTAACTAAGTGAGATTGCATCTCCTCCTCTGTGTTCCTATAATACCTTGCATATACCTATGTCACCAAACTGTTTATTATTTTGCACCTCTGTCCCCCATTAGATGGTAAGCTAAGAACTATTTAAATGTAATTTTTTTTAATTCCATTAAAAATTTCCATTTTTTAAATTCCATTAATTCCATTCTAGGATTTAGCACATAGAGATGGTAGTCAGAGAAAGATCTAAAGGAGTTGAACACTAAGAGGTAAGATCACACATCACCTGCTTCAGTTTTTCCTCTCCTAAACCTGATTTGTATTTCAGATATTGATTAAATATATTAACAGCAGCTTTCACCTTGAAGGACATGAAAGCTATTATTATAGCATATTTCAATGTAGCTTTGTTCACAGGAGAAATCTTTCTTTCCCTTATTGTTACTGTCTGTCCTCTCATCTTCCCAGTCATCCACAAAAACCACAGCCTAAGAATAAACTTTATTTTTCCCTAGAGACTGTTTCTTATATAAATTCAGGGACAAGTGAAAGCAATTTCTTCCCTCTTTACTTAGGAAGGAGAATTCTCAACCTCCTAGACACAATAGGGGGGAAATAGAATGAATATTATTCAGAAAGATTAAGTGGCCTAAAAAGCAACAAATAAAAAGAATAAAATTCAATCTAGTCCACAGATAAAATAAAATATAAAAAGAAGTAATACAAAAATAATTCATTACCAATCTCAAAGCTCCCATTTATAAATCCAACTAAAGATGTCGGGATGTTGAACTGTCTTTCTATTTGTGTGAGCATGGAATTCATATAAGATCCAGATAGTGTTTTGGCTATATATGCACATGTTATTGCCACCAGAAACATCTAGGAGAAAAGAATATAAGAAAACATATAAAAATTTTATTTTTAAATTGTGTATTTGCTACCTGTTAACAAAAAATCTTCTACAAGACAACATAAACTCTTCTCCAAGACTGACTCAAACTTAAATAATCCTTGAACTTGTGAGAAACTTTTGTTATGATCTGTTCTTCTGGCCTTTCATATCAAGTTCTCACTTTGAAAATTCAGAGTAGGACTAATTGATTATTGATATTGAAAAAGAGGAATGTAGCATTACAGAGACATTATTTCTGTAGCAAATTCCCTTAAGGTCTCTCTTATCTAAAGTAATATGCAAATTTACAATATTAGATTGCTGTTCAATGACCATTAATTTATTTAAAACATTATTTTAATTATAGACCACTACAAAAATATTTCAAAATTGAACAGTATTTGCTATGATAAACAAATATGAATACCATAAAATTCCATCTATTGACTCATGTTTCCTATGTATTGAGATAGTTCCAAAGAGGAGTCATGTTTGACATGACCCATAATAAATACCAAGGACAACTTAGTATGGTTTTAAAGAAAATGTGAAAAGTTAAAAGCTTGAGTTTCATTAACAGAAAAAGACTTTGATTTTAGTAGGGGATTTGAAAAAGGTGCATTTTATACTGGGTAGTAGTATAATTAATTGGGTAGATTAATTATTTCTTCAAAAACATCAAAGTCTAGATAAGTAAATTTATGCCAACCTGAATGGTGGGTCTCCAATATTAGACCATAGGAGTTTTATCTTGACCCTATGTAAGTATTTTTCCTGATGACACCTCCATCCCTGGAGACCATTTGATCTGCTGCTCTTAGCCAACATTCTCAAATCCCTGAAATCCTCACCTCTCCACCTTCTATACACACAATCTTCTTTTTAAAATAGTATCATTTGTTATTAAGGAAACACTGCTTTACAATACTGTATATGACTTAAGGAGTACAGGGTCACACCTCTTAGATATATGTTACCACACACACCACCAAAACACCCTAGTCCTCCACCGTAGCCCTTCATGGCCCCAATCTTGAACCAACCCCATAATTTATATTGCACCCTGTACATTCCCTTTAAGATTTTCACAGTCTTTTTGGTTTCCTCATCTCCAAACCAGCCATGTGTAATTCATAACCAACAAATAATCTCAAACTTAATCCATCTCTACCTTTATCACTTTAGGATAGGTATACCTTCTCCTGTCTAATAAAATCCCTTTCCCATTCTTCCTGTTTCTGAGATCCTGATCCATGAATTATTGCCCCCCCTTCCCAATACTCTTTACTGCCTTTCTTCCTGCTAATTTTTAAATACATTTAAGATAATTCTGTGTATCTACAAAAATATAGCTACATGTAAACCTATATATAAAGTCTTCATTCACCCATGAGGGTAGTTACTCCAGCTACCATCAAGCTGTTTGGAAGAATAATCTAGATTCATTGCATATGCAATTTAATCTTTGACTCAATCTTTAACCTGCTACAGTTTAGCCTCTCCTGAAACTATCATAAATAAAAGGTCATTAAAAAAAAACCTCCCTGATTTCCAAAATCAAGAGCTAATTCTCAGTCCTTAGCTGAGAACTTGATATCTGAGTCATTTGACACCATTAATCTCTTTTCTTCCTGAAATTCCCTCCCAACATGCATAGCTATATATCTGCCTACCTGCTAGACCTTTTATTCAATCTTCTCTTTTTTTGGCCAACCCCTCCAGGCTTTAATCAAGTATGCTTTTCACTTTTCACTACACCAGCTCTCCCTAGGAAGTCTTACTTGTTCCCAAGATTTCAGCTACCACCCACATGCTGAAATCTCTCAAATGTGTACCTAGTTTAGCTTAGACAAGTACAATCATTTTTTTTCCAGTGGCCTCTTGTCTTATCCACCTTCAATTTCCCTTCTGCTTGCCACCACCACTAATGATCTGTCAAATGAATTTATAATATCACTAATTATCTGTCAAGTGAATTTTTAAAAATGCATGCTTAACATGTGATTCCACTTCCTAAAACTTTTTAGTTACTGCCATGGATAAAAATCCCTACCTTTTTGGATGGCAGTCAGAGCCTCATCTATATCTCCATCTCATCTCCTGATACTTATGCAGAGATATAATATTCTACTTATGGTTACTTTAATTCACCATGCCATTCTACATCTCAATTTCCTCCACTTATAATGTTTTTCTTCCCCTTATTTATCTGATATATATTCATTTTTTTTAAGATTTATTTATTTATGCATACAAGAGCTGAAGTATAGGCCACATGTGAAGGAGGGTGAGAGTGTTCACCAGAGACAGAGTGGGAAACAGAACAGGCAGATTGGCTTAAATACATTGCTAAGGGGAGCAGCAGGTGAGACAAGAGACGTGTTCTGTGCCATGTGGGTTAGCTCCCTGGCCAGGGATCAAACTCTTGCTGCAGTGGCTGCAGTGACTATGGATTGCTTCATAGTGCTGAGACTCAACCCCTTGCGCCACCAGGGAGGCCCTGATATATACTCATTTTTTAAAAACTCAACTCTATTATCATTTCTGTTGTGGAGCCTTCCTTCTCTCTTTGCTTCCTAGGTAGCCTTAATCTCTCATTCACCTTCCTACCCTGCTATGTGCCTGCCTCCATAGCAGCTCTTATCACACTTAACTGTTTGGATGCTTATAACTTCCTCTTTCACTGTACTGTGTACAGTTCAAAGTCAGGAGCCAGTCTTATTCACCTTTGTATCTTTGGTGTCTGCTAAATGCCTCATGGATATGCTAGGCACACAGTATAAGTTAATTGAGTTAATTATAGATAGACTAAGTTTTTAAAAAAAATCTTGAGGGCCTCCCCGGTGGCACAGCGGTTGAGCACTGGGTTGCGAAGCTGCCCGCAGCCTCTGCAGCGCCGGTTCGATCCCCGGCTGCTCCCTGGCCACCGGCGGAGGGTCCCACATGGTGTGCAGACCTCTCCTGCCGCCCGCTGCTCCCCTTAGCAGTGTACTTCGGTCCTTCTGCCTGCTCTGCTCCCCACTCTGGCTCTGGTGAACTCTCTCACCCTCCCGCGCTTCTGACTGTACCCAGTGCTTGTATAAATAAATAAATAAATATTTAAAAAAAAAAGAAATAAGGTATTAAAAAAATAAATAAATAAATAAATCTTGAAAAACTGGTCAGAACTGAAAATAAGCTGAATTTAAGATGAAATATAATAGGATTAAATCACTTAAACCAAGCACTATCTGTACCAATTTATTTGGGAAAATCTGAACAGAAATTTATGTGGAAAAGACCTGAGAAGTTTAAATATCAAGCTTAATATGAATCACAACTATTACATGGCTGGTAAGATACTATAACTATCTTTTTTATTAAATATTTATCCTTTATATTAAATGTAATTTAATATTATCCTTTTAAATATTATAGAAACTGTTTCATCACACTATAAATCTTTGTAGAATACATTGCAAGTAAACAATTTTGCACATAATTTTATAATTAAACATATTGGTTTACATTAAAAACATGCTTTACAAAATAAAATACTAATCCTAACTGGGAAACAACTTTATTTTAGCGTTTTAAGAAATGAGACTGGGTGAATCTAGATGGGCTTCCTAACTGGTTCTGTTGACAAAGTAAAGGCAAAGCAATGCCTATTATGTATGACTCATGTCTAGTACAAAATACTCTCTATGTATAAAGCTAGTCCTAACATTCTTTCACAATAGTGTGCCAGAGTTTGGGAGTAAATTTGTTGAGGACACTCCTTTGACCCTTTTGTAAAACATTTTGGTTAAAGAGTATATTTCTTATTTCAGAGAAGCAGAAAAACCTGATTACTAAGCAAATGCCTCTCACTTTTACCAGATAAACTTATGCTCGTAATAGTGTAACACTCAGACTAATATCTAATCTTGATCATCTAAATGCCAAACTCCAAAGAAATCAAAAATTAGATTTAAGACCAATTGTTAAAAAGTAACACCTGACTTGTTTTCTCCACAGTGCTACTTTTAACAATAGTTAATATTTATTAAATGTTCACAATATCCCCGTCATTGTTCCAAGTATGTAAATAGAAAAGAATCCTGTAAGATAGAACTATTGTTATTACCCTTTCAGGGGAGAAAACTGAAGCACAAAGAGGGTCAATACTTGTCCAATATCACACAATAAGTAAGTAGTTTAACTCAGATTTAAATCCAGAGAGACTGGGCCTTGATCTTTATTTTTTATCCATCCAGTTTTAGAAGAAGGACCTATGCACTGAGGAATGATTTAAGGGAAATTTTTAAAATATCGTTTACATTGCACTTCAGGTAAAAACACTTTTCTCAGTCTATGTCATTATAGAGTTCACGTACATGTATAAATTTCATGTGCATGTGTAAATTTTCCTTACACAGGTATAAAGGGAAAAGAAACTTTTGATAGAGAGAAAATTAGGAGCAGTGTCTCAGTTTGGAAACTACTTGTAGACACTAGCTGTAGAACCAAGACAAATACCCAGATCTCATAGTTTAAAATAAATTTGAATTTTATTTGAAGGCAAAGTGACTTTGAAGCTATGCAAAAAGTTTGCTCTGAAATAGTCAAAAATTCCAGAAAAGATAACAAAGTGGGCATTTTTCTTACAGAGAAGGCTTGTTCTGTTGCCAAAGCTTGAAGTAAACATTTGTTTTACTGGGTCATTGTGAAGAGACCATTGCCTACAGAGTCACAAAGACTTTCTCTTCAGTGAGCCATTTTCCAGGAGAGACCCCACACTCGTCTGCCTAGAAGTCCCAGAACGGTGAGCATAAATTGACTTTTGATCCAGAAAAATACTTCCTGCTACAAATACTGGGTGCCTGGAAAATTGTTAAGACTCTGTCTTTTATTTAAATCCTTCAAAATAATTTCTGATTAAGATGCCTGAATTAGTAAACTTACTTATATATAGACCCTCAGTTACAAAACCAATTTCTCAAAGCAAAAAAATCATTAATGTATCAGGCACTTATGACAATAATATTAGATCTAGATCACTCCATAAAAATATTAACAACTTTACAAAGTAAGATTTTAAAACACACACATACACACACACACACACACACACACACACACACACACACACACATGTTCCATACCTTTAGCTTGGAAAGACATCTTACTCTATGGGTTTCAGTTCTTTTCTTAGTTTCTCCCATGTTGTTCTTCTGAGTGTTCCAAGTTATTTATGTTTTAAATCTTGATATTTCTTAGTTCTATCCTTTTAAGAAGACAAAAAAAAATCCATTAAATTACTGACAAAATCATAAGTTGTCATTGTTTTGAAGAAAACACTGAGTAAAATAATCAGAATCTATTGTATTCCAAAAATACTTGGGAAACTTTGATTCAGATCTAGAAAATAATGACGTTAGAGAAGATCTAGCTGTTAATTTTCCATTGAAAAGTTACATCAAATAACTGTATTTACTCCTTAGTGAGATTAAAGCTACTAGATTAATATGTTATGGTTCCCTTGCAAAATAATGATCTCGTGGTTAAAACAAGCTTTTCATTTCTTTAGCCAAAACAAATAGAACCAAGTGAGCTCCTTGGACTTACATGAAAATGCTGCTTTTAAGAGCACACAGACTTTGATTTGCGTTTGTGCTAAAAATCTGCTTCAGAGCCTAGCACAGCTCAAAAATCTCTATTTGGCCAGGCTCCCTCTTCAAGTTCTTTGCGTTCCAAGACTTCCCTGGAGTCTCAGGAAGGGAAACGCTTTCTGGGGCACTGCTGATTCACAGAAACCTGGGGAGACATGGAATTTTAATCATGGAAATTGCCTAAGTAAAAATAACAAATAATCTATGATCTGGAAAAAGAATCCTTTAATTGCAAAGCAAGATGTGAGGTTTAGGAGAAGGCAAACATATGAGGGCAGATCTATATGTGTACTTACCTGTAGAGTATTTAGGCACACATTTTTATTTGTAAGCCTGAAAGAAGCCCTTAACTTTATTAAATTCTACTAACCCCATGTCAAAGATTGTGTCTGTGTCTTGAAACTAGTACAATATTTTGTATTAAAACTGAAGTATTTCACTCTAAGTGTTATAATCATCTACTTAAGACTGATATCTTAACAATAAGCTTGACATTAATTTTTTAAAATCCTGTGAATGCTATCCATTTAACAATTCATCCTGATTGACACTAATTTTTAAAGACCTAAGTGCTGTACCTCTATAAATGTGTTGAATCACACTCCCCCTATAAACATTAAGGCAATAGTCACTGAACAATTATGTATAAGATCTGTTCTCTTTATTCATTCTCTCACAGGTGCAATAGAATTTTTTTGAAAGTCTATTATTTACTAGTCATTGTACTATGTACTATAATTCATCAGTAAATGAGGCAGACAAACTGTCCTAAAGACTGTTGTACCTGGCTGGAGGAACATTATGCTCTGTGGAAGGTACTTGGACCAGACCACAGAGAAGTTATAATTTTACTGGGAAAGGTAAAACTTTTCAATAAAACAAACTGGAGTAGAATTAGTGTGTCATCTAATACAAATTGGCATGTAAGTGGTGAAAAGATTCATATATCATAGAAGAAAATTATGAGAGATACACTTGTCAATTCTGAGTGGCCATACAAATGAACTCATGCTAAATCCTCACACAAAATTCCAAATCACCTTAACTGTAATACAAGTACATGGCACTTGTTTGGGGGAAAACTAACAGACTAGGATAATTTTTTTAGAAGAATAGGAACTGCTGTTATTTGGGCCTCCTCTGTCTCACAGCTCCTTTTATCATACACCTCTTGACTGCCCTCATTCCTACTTTTTCATGCATTTAGAACCCAACCTTGCTTCCCTGTCTTTTTTGCTTCTATTCTCTCCTTCCCTACATCTGAACCCAAGGTAGTCACCCAATTATACAATAGGAGAGGGAGAGAACTTACCCCTCTTCTTTGGCAAAACTGTCTTCACTCTCTCTAGTAGGTAAAAGACATAACTATTCTAAATGCTGGTGTTTCCTGTGTTGTTGATGGATATACAAAGTTAGTGCGACAGAAAATTGCTGTGTAGAGGAATTCTGCAGATCCTTCTATGCCTGGTGACACTGTGTAGCAATCTAGAGCTGGTTTTATTTCTTTCAGAGCTTTGTTTCAAAATGTTTTTACTTCCTTGAAAGAAGTTTTATAAGCAATTCCCTGGACTAAGGCTTGAAGCTTGGAAACAATTAAATGTGATTAAATGAACACTAACCTTTCCTTCATTTGCCAATTTGCTTAGTGAAAATGTCTAGCTTTTCAGACACAGTTTAACATTTAATGGCGGAAAACAATAAAATGAAGAAATAAAAACACCTATTTTGTTAATTTAACAAAATACACGAAATCCAAAGTAATATCACAATCACAGTCAAGCACTTTGGCCCCAAATCAGGGAATGCACACTTTGTTTCTTCATATCTTCTCTGCCTGGTGAGTGACAGCCCTGTGGACAGGCCCCTTTTGTTAGCACAGAATTGTTTAGACGGGGACTTCTGCTCCTGGGACCACAGCATCAGGGACAAATCCCCTTCAGTCATCACTGCTAATGAAAACAACTTGCTCCAGTTTAAGGAAGTGGTGAAGCTTTACTTTGTCTAACTCTGAACTTTCAGCAGCAGCCAGATATTCGTCAGTGCTCATTCTCAAAGAAACATGCTTGAGTTTCTTCCATGTCTACCGGTGGTTTTTGCTTTTCATGCGCATTTATTTCTAAATGTGGTAAAAGCATTTGACAAAACTGTTAACTACATGCAGTTACTAAAACTTTCACTTTGCTTGTCAGAAACGTTAAGCCCATTGAACAATTCCACTCCCGGGCTGCTGCCTGCCAGTTGCCAGCCCCTAATGACATGTCTCAATCATAAGAGGATATGTCTTTTTGTTTTGTTGTTTTACAAAACAAATAATCTTGTGCTCTTCGCCCAGCATTAAGTATATAAACATGGTGTTTTATCGCTGTAAACCACCTGGGGAAAAGGCATACATTAAATGCTATACTATTGAATTAACAAAATAAAGATTTTATCATGGCAAAACTAGTAGTACATACATGAAGAAGACTTAGAAGAACGTCCTTTCCCTGGGACAAAAGAGAGGGTCATGCCAGCAAAAATCTTAAGAAAATTTTTTATTTCCAGAATCTCCAAATGGCTTCTACTTCTGCAAGAGAGGACAGCTTTCGGGGTGGTTCCCTGCTGAAATAATTTCAACCAATACTAATCCAAGAAGTATGTGCCAATGAAGGGTTTGTAGTATCAACAATGACATTTTGTGTGATGCCTACCAAATTCTGTTACTTATATTAGTTCCCACTCATCAGAAGCAAAGAATAAGATTAGATTCTGTATATCAGTCTTACAAATACCAGTATCTGTTTATTTCTATGTCCAGAGGAGGTACCAGAAATGCATCACTCTATGCAAAACTAGAGAAACTTAGCTGACCATAGACTATTAACTGTATGCATGATTTCACTATGCAAAGCAAAGAGTGCAAAGCACAGAACACAGGTAAAAACCTTCACCAGCAAACCAGCAATAGGAAGACCTACCCCATTACTTTTTCTAACATTCTAATCTAACTTTGATTATAGACCAAAGCCATAAAGTTGAAACCTGACTCGATTTAGAATCGGTTGTGAAGATCATCATTGCGCCTTCTCAGGCCAAGTAATTCTAGAGAATGATCAGAGAATTATAGAAGCAGCCAAGGTTTTTACACTTGCAGTTTAAACTGTTTCATTTCTTTCCATGTTTATCGCACTTCTCTTTTTTTGCTTACATAGACATAGTTTGGGGTACAAAAACATGTTCCTTCATTTAACTGTAGCAAATAAACACTGATCTGATCTTTTTTCTTATAAAGATTTTCATCTGTTTATAAAGCTCCCAAAATAACTGAAAATCCACTAACACATTTAGATTTTTACCAAATCCATTTATTTATAAATTTGTGCATACACATTTATAAATACATGAAGGCAGCTGGATATGGTCAAAATGTCAAACCTTGAAGTCCAGTTAGATAGGGTTTAATTCTAGTTTAGTTGTGAGTTGGCAGCTGGATATGGTCAAAATGTCAAACCTTGAAGTCCAGTTAGATAGGGTTTAATTCTAGTTTAGTTGTGAGTTGTTTAAACTCTGTGAGCCTGTTTTTCCTTCTCTGTATGTGGGAATATTTATGCCTACCTTGCAAAAATGTTATAAAAAATGAGTCTAAAAATTTATATAAGACCCCCAGCAAGACTGCTGAAATAAAAAATAGTCACTCTGTAAATGGTAATGATTATTATTCACTCATTCCACAAATATTTATTAAGGCTCTATTACATTCCAAACACAGTAGTTGGTGCTAGGGATACAAAGATGAATACAGACATGCTTGCACTAGAAAGGTCTCACAAGCTGTTGAAAAAGATAGATAATTAAATTATGACAATAGTTACTAACATAATGGCAGACATATAGATAATTAAATTATGACAATAGTAACATAATGGCAGACATTTTGAGCTAAGTAACAGGAAGAGACAATTAATGAAAACTATTCATTTAGATGGGATATAGTAGTTCTAGTACATGAGCTTTGAAATGAGACACAACTACTTTGAAAAACTTTAAACTACCTTTGTGATTTTGAATAAATCTCTATCTACACATTGAAGAATGTCTCTATATCTGTCAGGGTCCAAACAGGAAGATAGACACTGGTAGGTAGAGCAGTAGAGAAATTTAATATGAGGAACTGTTACAAAGGTGTCTGAAGAGACAAAAAGCCATTCTGAGGATAGTGGACAATCCAGAGATTTACACCAGTGGGCAGTCACTCAAACTCCCAAGACTGTGGGGCTGAGTGCAGGTACTTGGGCCGTAAAGACTCACAGCCACTGCCAGAGGCACTGCTTAAAGTGAGGAGCAGGAGAAACACCCTGGCTTTAGATTTTTTTCCCAGCCCACTTATATATTTGTTCATTCACATCACAGATATAAGCAAGCAGCTAGACATAGTCAAAATGTCACATCTTGAAGCCCAGTTAGTCTGGGTTTATTTATTGAATGATCTCAAAGTCTTCAAAATACAGAATATGAAGAAGCAAATTTTCCTAAAGTGGCTATATCACCAGATTGGAAACCCAAGCTCTAATATGATATATGCAGTGTGATACCATATTTGTAAAACTGTAATTGAAGATAATAATAAAAATGTAAGCATTTTTATAGTACTTTCTGTATTCCAGGCACTGTTTAATGAACTTTGTAGATGTCAATTTTAATTCTTATAAAACCCACCCCTATGTTTATAGCACCACTATTTACAATAGCTAAGCTATGGAAACAACCCAAATGCCCAAAAATAGATGACTGGATCAAGAAGATGTGGTACATATACACAATGGAATATTACTCAGCATTCAAAAAAGATAAACTCATGCAGTTTGCAGCAACATGGATGGAGCTAAAAGGGATCATGCTCAGCACAATAAGTCAGAAAGAAAAAGAAAAATACCAGATGGTCTCATTCATAGCAGGAATTTAGAAAACCTAAATAAGGGGCCAGGAAAAAGACTAACTGATACAAAGTAAAAATCAAAATCAATAAGCAACTATAAACCAGAGACACACTGGGAGGGGAGAGGCAGGGAGAGGAAGGACTAGGGTCAAAATAAGGGGGGGTGCAATTGTATGGGGAATATAACCAAAATGAAAATGCATACATTGTGCAAAAATGAAAAATGATGTAAGAATTATATAAAATAAAATTTTTTAAAAGTTGGAAAAAAAAACAACCCTATAACATAGGTAATTGATCCCAACTTTTAAAAGTAGGGAATTACATGTAGCAACCCAGTTTTCCCAGCACCATTTATTGAACAAACTTTCTTTGCTCCAATGCATAGTCTTTGCTCCTTTGTCAAAGTTTAGTGGACCATAAATCTGTGGGTTTATTTCTGGATTTTCTATTCGATTCCATTGGTCTGTATGTCTGTTCTTGTTCCAATACCATGCAGTTTTGATGACTATGGCTTTGTAGTATAGTTTGAAGTCTGGGAGTGTGATGCCTCCATTTCCTTCTTTTTTTTTCAGTAGAGCTTTGGCTATTCGGGGTTTTTGGTGATTCCATATGAATTTCATCAATAATTGTTCTATTTCTTTGAAGAATGACATTGAAATTTTGATTGGAATAGCATTGAATCGGTATATTGCTTTTGGTAGGATGGCCATTTTAATAATGTTTATTCTTCCAATCCATGAGCAGGGGATGTCTTTCCATTTCTTTGTGTCTTCTTCTATTTCTTTTAACAGTGTTTTATAATTTTCTTTGTATAGGTCCTTTACCTCTTTTGTTAGATTTATTCCCAAATATTTGATTTTTTTTGTTTCGATAATAAAAGGGATGGTTTTTTTTATTTCTTCTTCTTCAGATTTATTGTTTGTGTATAGGAAGACTACTGACTTTTGCATGTTGATTTTGTATCCTGCCACTTTACTGAATTGATCAACTCAAAATGGATGAAAGAACTAGACATAAGACCTGAAACCATAAAATACATAGAAGGAAATATAGGTAAAACACTATGTGATTTGCATATCAAAGACATCTTTACAGACACATCACCCAAAGCAGTGATAGTGAAGGCAAAGATAAACAGCTGGGACTACATCAAATTAAAGAGCTTCTGCACAGCAAAAGAGACAATAACAAAAACAAAGAGAAACCCCACCAACTGGGAGAACATTTTTGCACCCAACACTAATGATAAAGGACTGATCACAAAAATCTGCAAAGAGCTGATGAGACTCAACAACAACAAAGAAAATAACCCAGTCAAAAAATGGGCAGAAGAGCTAAAAAGAAACTTCTCTGAAGAGGAAATGCAAATGGCCAACAGACATATGAAAAAATGTTCAACATCACTTGTAATCAGAGAAATGCAAATCAAAACTACCATGAGATACCATCTTACACCAGTGAGAATGGCACATATTAAAAAAACTAGCAACAACAAATGTTGGCGAGGTTGTGGAGAAAAAGGAACTCTCCTGCACTGTTGGTGGGAGTGCAAACTGGACAAGTCACTATGGAGAGCTGTGTGGAGATTTCTTGACCTACTAAAGATAGAGCTTCCATATGATCCAGCAATTCCACTCCTAGGTATTTACCCAAAGGACACAGAAACATCAATTCCAAAGAACACCTGCACCCTATGTTTATAGCAGCACTATTTACAATAGCTAAGCTTTGGAAACAGCCCAAATGCCCAAAAATAGATGACTGGATCAAGAAGATGTGGTACATATATACCATGGAATATTACTCAGCATTCAAAAAAGATAAACACATGCAATTTGCAGCAACATGGATGGCGCTGGAAGGGATCATGCTCAGCGAAATAAGCAAAAAAGAAAAAGAAAAATACCGGATGGTCTCACTCATAGCAGGAATCTAGAAAACTTAAATAAGGGACCAGGAAAATGAATAACTATAAGAAAGTGAAAATCAAAATCAACAAAAAACTATGAACCAGAGACCCTTTTTGGGGGGTGGGGGCCGGGAGGGGAGGGATTGGGGTCAGAATGGGGGGGCTGCAATTGTATGGGGAATATAACAATAAAATTTATTATTTAAATAAAAAAAAAGTAGGGAATTAAAGGACAGAGAGGTCAAGTAACTCGTACAAGTTCACACAGCTTTGAAGTGATTGAACCAGAATTCAAATCTAGGTAGTGTCGTAGACTCTACCCACTTAACTGTCACCACCACCGGTGGTGGTGGTGGTGGGGATGTTGCATATGTTTACTGGTGTATTTACTTATAGGAAATACTAAGGATAATATTGATCTTTTATCAATTAATTTTTGTATTGAGGTAATTTTGGTTTACAACAATGTATATGACTTAAGGATATAGGTTGAAACCTCTTCAAATATGTTATCACACCACATCCACCACTAAAGCACCAGTAATCTTCCATCCTTTCTTCCCCCACCAACTTCACTTCTGCAGTCAGATTGCTAGGATTTGTTTGGACTTGCTTTTGTCTGTTTCTTTGCTTTGTTTTTTTATATTCAACAGATGAATGAAATCATCCAGAACTTATTTATTTTGCCTATCATCAGCTCCAGTTCCAGTCATGTTTTTGCAAATGGCGAGATTTCATCTTTTTTTTTAATATAGCTAAGTACTATTCCACTGTGTATACAGGCCACAACTTCAACTCTTAGCTATT